ATGTCTTAATTAAAAAAAAAAGAGGAAGGTAACTACCCCCGTACCGATGAATCGTATCGATTTGAAATCGACATAATTTACCAATAGCCGCCTTAAAAGCGACGTCTCGCGACAGCGCTCGAACCGAGTAAATTAGAATTCCAGAATCTCGGATTCTCCTTTCGACAACAAAAACGAAGCGGGATAATTACCAATCCGGCGAGGGCATTGTTCCAACAAGTTCGCATTGATATCTTTTACCTTTAGAGAGAGCCTTTCCGCCCCCTCCTATTGTCCGAGGGGTATCGCTTCTCGAAAAAAAAAAAAAAAAAGGAGGAGGGGGCAGCATCCAGGCGCTCGTTAAGATAAATCTGCGCACCTTATTTTCGCGAATCGCGGCTTTCTTTGCTTTCGCACTCGAGGATAATTAAAACGACTTGCCTCGAGATATCTCGAGGCCGGGACAATGCTAATGACGCGGCGAAGTAATTTGTTTAATAACGCGTCACGGGGTGCGCCGCTCGACCCAATTCTTCCCCTCGGCTGGCTCAAGAGACAGCGGGTGCATTTTTTACACGTCCAAAGAGCGCGAAATTCCAAATAACTTCCCGCCCCCGTTGATATTCCATTTCCACCTTGCCAGAAAAGAACGCCGGTTATCGCCCCGTTAATTACGCGTCGGTTATAAAATCGTATTGGAAGGCCTCCGGAGATAAGCGTTTATCGGGGGAGCCTTAATCAGGCCTTAAGTGTGCTCCACTTTAGTTACGCCGAACGGATTAGTCGCCAATTGCGTCGTCGCCGTTTAACGAGACGAGCCCAAATTTGGCGACTGGAGTGAACGTCGATTTCCAAATGAAAATAGAGAGAAAAAAAAAACACGAAAGTTCAGTCGAGGCCGGTGGGCAGATCAAGGATTCCAAGATGGCGGCCGAGAGAGTGGAGCCGAGTCGTTTAATTCCTTCTAGGATCTGGTTTATCCCGTAGTGTTTGGATGTCGCGTTGGATTCGAAATGTCAAAAGAGAGAAAGTGCATTTCTCGGCGCTCTTTTGATATTCGGTATCGAAACGTTGAAACAGAAAAAAAATATCATTCGGGCCCTCGCGTCTGCCGCCGCCATCTTGGAAGTTCGTCGAGGAGCAACATCTCCCCGATATCGGAAATTCCTGGAACCCTTCCATCTTGGAAATTCGTCAAAGAGCAATATTTCTCTGATTACCTAACAACATGAATTCTAAATTGGTGTATTGATATCCGGAATCGGAACGTCGGAAGGGAAGAGGAATATTTTTCGGCCCCTCGCGTAGGCTTCCCCTGAAAGGCAGCCGCCGCCATCTTGGAAGTTCGCCATCGCGGTGCAACATATCCCCGATCAGCTAACAAGCTGTAAACCACGACGCTGCAGCGATCGGATATCCTCAGCGCGTGATTACATAAATTTCGGTGTCCGATGGAAAAGGCGAGGTTCCGCCTGCGTTCCCCGACAAATCTTTCGCCCGGCGGTTCCCGGGGCGGCCCGTAACCTCAAACTTCCCCGGGGGGAGAGGGGCGGCATAAAACGTGAGACGTCGTAAAAATGAATATGACCTTCGGGAACGGGGCCTTGACGTGTCCGAAGGGCAGTAACCTCCTTTATTAAATTTCCCCGACGCTTCTAGGCGAGCGTCGATCCTCCCCGGGTTCGACGCGAAACTCGATCGCGGGATTCCGCGAGATATCGAGATATCGAGATATCGAGATATCGAGGCGCCTCCCTACCGCGGACGCCGAGTTACCGAGAAAATGAATACTACCGCGAGCGACGAAATGGCTGAAATCTCCGAGAATTTTCCCGCCGAAAAATGGCCTTCCCTCCCTCGTTACGCCTTTATCGCCGAACCGCTTTATTCCTCCGTTAAGGTTAACGGCGCGTGTCTTCCTCGACGCCGAAAAATCGTTGCGACGAGAAGACTCGAGAGATCCAATATGGCCGCACACCTAACGATAAATTATTTCGATAAACCAATGCAAAAATGGACGCTGAAAACGAGCTCGATATATCTGCACGGACTCGAGATCGCTACGACTTATCGTTACGTACGTGGTCACCTTTCGACAGAATTTTGCATATCCACCGCCAGAAACGAAATTCACGTATTCCGCGACTCTAGGTGCCGCATCGACTAGTTTTACGTGCATACATACATACATGGTCGTAAAGCGAACGAGATTTATGCATTAACTTATAAAGCTAGGGCAGACGGCATTGGCGCGCGCATTATGCAGCCATTTGGCCCGATTTACATAGAATAGGGATCACGAAGGTGGCCATCAAGTGACGCGGTAGACGTAATGATTAACCGGCCAAACTGGAGCACCGCACCGCGGAAAAGAGTCGATAAACCTGGGAATCGATCGCTATGCTAGAATAATGCCTAAATAAATAAGAAACCGATTTTCAATCGAGGATTAGTTGGGCAAAATCGAGTCTGGTAGGCGCCCGACAAACAGGCGTCGATCAACATGGCCGGTCTCGATTTCGTTCATCAGCCGCAACGAGGCCGCGCCTGCAACTCGAGCTGGCGACCCTTACAGCTACCCGTTATTTACGGTGATCCGATTCCCGTTCTTAATCCGCTCACCGAACGAAATAAGGTAATCGAGCCCGGATACTGCGGCGACGTCGCCGTGAAGAGAGACGACGGGTCGTAGGAATTCCCTCCCTTGCGACGGACCCAATAGAGAGGAACAAATGCAATATTGCATTGAATATTAAATCTATTCTATCGACTATTAGATAAATATCCACGTTATTTAAATAACTACAACAAGGAAATAAGGTAATCGAACCAGGATACTGCGACGACGTCGCCGTGAAGAGAGGCGACGTAGGAATTCCCTCCCTTGCGACGGACCCAATAGCGAGGAACAAATGCAATATTGCATTAAATATTAAATCTACTCTATCGACTATTAGATAAATATCCACGTTATTTAAATAACCACAACAACGAAATAAGGTAATCGAGCCCGGACATGAAGAGAGGCGACGTAGGAATTCCCTCCCTTGCGACGGACCCAATAGCGAGGAACAAATGCAATATTGCATTGAATATTAAATCTACTCTATCGACTATTAGATAAATATCCACGTTATTTAAATAACCACAACTCACGCTTAGTCCCGGTATCAAGATGACAAAAGAAGCAACGATATCTGTCCTGACAAGAGGAGCTTAAACGGCTGTTTGTCCGCTTACGGGGATCCGCCACAGCCAGCAAGACCAAAACCAAGCCGAAGACCGATTTCGCCCACCGCTAACACCCTCTGAATCGATTTACGCGACTCGAGGCGCACCGCCCTCCGCAATCATCCAAACCTCGAGAGTCGTCGAAATCCGAGGGATTCCGTAGTATCGGCTCGGAAGATCTCGAAAGCAGCCCTGATCGAAGGGGCGATCAAGGGGGGCCCCTCGTCAGCTGATCGGGCTTAATCGCGGCCCTTTGATGGCGTTATTCCGGGGGCAAATAAGGTCCTCGAATAAGAGAGAGAACGGCCGAGTTCCTCGGGATTCCTCTCTCCCCCTCTGGCGTTCGTCCGCGTCATGACGAACGGCGTTTCGTCTCCGGCAGAGGCCGGAGGGGGGCGGCTCTGCGATATATCTCGGGATAATTTGATACAAAATGACCGGGCCGGGGGCACCGCAGCGAATACGACGCCCCTAATAACGTTGATTTATACCGACGGCTCAACGCCAAAGGGGGTCGCAGGCGCCAGGACGCGGCAGGACGAGAGGCCCGGAGGTTCCGCAAGTTACCTCGCCGAGTGGTTAGTTTGAATTGATTGCCATATCCTCTTACGGGGGCCCGGTCGTGCGTATAGGTGACGCATGCGAGATCCCAGGATGAAAGGGGTGGCTCTCCTCCGGGCGGCCGGGAACGCCCTCTCTCTCTGGAAACTAAATCCGGCCCGAGCCCCCGGCTCCGATCTGGATCGGGACGCGAAGGATCCCGGGGGATCCCCTGGAAATGCCCGGCAGTCGTCCTCTGGAAATCCCAGCCCCTCCAGGAGACGACGGGGTCTCCTGGCTGGACTTTAAGAGACCTCGCAGGGGTTATCCTTGGCTAGTTTTGTGTCTCCTCGAGTGCGAGTTAAATGGTCTTGGTCTGATCCTTGGGAAAACTGGGGAAACCAAGACCGTGGTCCTGCACTTGGTCTCGCAGTTATTTGCCACCCTCGAAATTCTTCGCTCTAGGTTGACCAGGAATTCACGAAAGCCTCGATACGATGCCTCTTATGTAAAGGGAATTATATAAACGGTCGACGAGTATCCTGGAGTATCCTGGAGTATCCTCAAAGGACGTGGATGGATTTCTTAAATGAAGACGATGACCGCGGAAAGCGATCGCCTTATTTAAAACCGGATATTCCGCCCTGTAAACAAGGTTAAAGCGGAGGCTTCCCGCGCCCAATTTTTCTGTAAACATTTTTCAAAGTATTACCCGCTGCCCTTTCGGCACAAAGAGGACGCCGGGCAGGAACTTCGTAGCCGGGTTATGAATTTTTTAAACGAGGTCGACAGCACAGTTGCCCCCGCGTTCCGCGCGAGGCAACCCACCGTCCGCAAAATGAGAAAATTCGAAATTACTACACCTAAACTTGCGCCCCCGCTTCATCTTGCTTTAGTATCACTATACTGACGCGAACGCCGAGCCGCTAATGGTCCACGGCGAAAGACATCCGGAAGCTCCGGAAATGGTTAACGCGCGCACCTTTTAAACGTTTCTTATAAAACAATTGTTACTCGCCGCAAGACTTGCTCGAAAGAGGAAACACCGACGTTTTATAAAATGTCCGTGGATACGTTCCCTCTTTCTTAGATCTCGTGTGTACCTCTGTTCATACGTAACACATCCATTTCTATTTAATCCTAGGAGAAATCTGTTCGGGGAAGAGCTTCCCCGCAAATGTCTACTCTAAAAGACAGTTTCGATCGCTACTTCTGCAACAATATGTAAATCGAAATTTCTCTCTACTTACGAATACGAGCATCAGGAAAAACGCGGCGAGATACGAGGTCCTCGCCATCCACATGCTCACGAATCGATAATGTTCCCCGGTTATGACGTTCCTGAAAGATACAACGAAAGTTTCAGCCGAGTCTAAACAATGTCTCCGTGAAGATCTTCCCCCTGACTCGAGTAAAAACCCTTGAAATATCAATTTACCTCAAAAATCCCTTATTATCCTGGTGTTCCGCCAAGGTTTTGATACTGGCCATCAGCAAATCATCGTATCCCAGAAACTCGTCGAGTATCAATCGCGAAAATGCGTCGCCGAAACATTTGTCATTCAGAGGATCCAACGTGACAATTTTCACGGGGATATTCAATCGTTGCCGAGCAGCAGGCGACAGCCTCAGAAAACCATACTCAAGGGAATACTCCACGATGTACTCGTCCTCTGGAAACACTAATTTTGAATTAATGATACTGAGATTGAGCATTCCTAAGCATCGTAACTGCGCTATCTTCTCATTTTCTCAAAAAAGTTTCGATAAATATATAATTAAATTCCGTTGCACATCCCCTTCAGCTATGCACTACTCTTCAAGAAAATGTTTCACCTTCAACGAACACAGAAGTCAATGTTTACCTGCCCGAACAATCTTCTCCACCTCCGACACCTGTCCTTTCAATGGCTGTATTATATTGTCTTCGTTAAGTTGCTTGGCATTAGACTCGTCGGTAACGTTTCCATGTGTTTCTGTGGTCGGTATCGAAGTATCGGTTGGCGGCTGAAACAGGAAGGGAATAACAACCCGTTACTAGTCAAGGTAACTTCTAAACAAATTTACAATGTAGGTTGAAGCCCCGACCCATTAACAATCCAATTTCTGTTAAACCTCTTACCTCCTGACCGTCTGTATCGAGCCCATTCCAAAGTTTTGTAGACAATGGTGGACTTATCGTAGCATTGTTTGTACTCAAATTTGGGCCTTGTACTTCGGTGGGAATGGTGGTGTCGACTTCTGTCTCCGTAGTGTTGAAGCTCTTCCTGTCCCTCTCCTCAGGAATCTCGACAGGTTCCCGGTCATCGTCTACCGCTGAGGGCTCAATATTAATAAATCTGCAAAAGAGCGAAGCAAATTGGATTAATAACAATTGAATTCAATCCGGCTAACCTTGGATAAATAAAAAATAAATAAGAAACAAAACTTACCCATCTCTCGTTAAAATTCCTAGGACACTGGTCAGATCGTCGACCTTTTCTTGTCTCAGTTTCTCCTCCTTGGCGTAACTCTTCTCTATACTATAATCTTCTGCTCCATTTCTCAAAATCTCGACCCTGAGTATACCATCTCGAGGCCACTCGTCTCGAATGTGCTCCAAACAATTAATCGGGGCCCTCGAAAACACTATGTGAATGTATGCCAGCACAAAAAATGCCATTATTGCCTGGAAAAAAAAACAAATTGGTAAACTTTCATTTGCTCATACGGTAAATGTTATTCCACACCATGTTAAATGGACGATTAATTACCTTTAATAAAACTATGAATTCTATGAATCTCCGGACAGGCCTTGGAAAGGCTCTTGCGTAAGCTAAGGCTACTTTGATGAACAAAGCGTGAAACAATCTGTCCCGCATATTAAACAGCGGGTTTTGATTGTTGTTGTTGTTCCTGGCTCTGTTCATTATATTATTATTTAAAACGGGCCCAATGGCACCGGCTAGGCTATGATTATTATCCTGAACCAAGGCGTCCTGATTGTTCGCTGCCGGAGCAGTGGCGACATCTAAATCTGGCATCTTTTGAAGTCACCTCTGGACTCCTTCGGCTGGCACTCCGCTGTGTCCAAGAGGTCCTCAACAGTGGGTGCTTAGCGGAGTCTTTGGAATGCTTCTCATTGGTGGATATCCTCGTATGAACGTTGTCATTTCCAGAGGAATAGGAATATTCTCCAAAATGTCCTGTTCCTGCAAATACAAATCAATATCAATTATTACGCTATTCATCTTAAAAAACATTGTTAACACTGATATAAAACTGTGATCTTTAAAATGATACAAATCATCTGTCTCATTCAATGAGTACTCAGACACAAGATCATTAAATAAAAAGAACATGAAATCCATAGGAAGGTGCCAAGGTTGTAACTTTCACTTGTGCATTTCATTGCACAAGTATGAGATATATGGATTATCTTGATTGCATTATCGTACCATACCAAAATCATTTTATCTTAAAAACCTGTGCATGTTACCCTATAAATCCTTTTAAAAATACTGTTGGTAGTAACTAATAAGGTACATGCCATAATAAATACAATACATCGTTCCGACATGATATCGATTACCAAAAGAATACATAAACTTCCTTAAAGCATAGCCTTCATCTATCCTTTTAAAAAAAAACAACCTACCAAAAATAATAACTCAATCCAACGAAACCCGACCGAAATACTCCAAGCTTAATCGCTTCTCTCCAGACCTCTTAAACCTAATTCTATACTTTCGACTTAAGTATTTACACACGTCTAGAAGAAAATTAACTTTCAAATAGCACATTTCATCTTTCAATCGCCACATCTTGGCCAATGCTCCGAAAGGTTGCATCGATTCACTCCGTCACCTTGCCATAACCTCTCGGTTGACCGATCTCTCCGACAACTCTGTAAGCTCTCTGGAGATCTGCGTCCCAGCTTCTAGTGTGCTTTTTCATAGCGAACCCTACAATTCTCTCGAGTAACGGAACGTGCTTAAACAAATGGTGAGAGTAAACACACAACATACGGTGTGACGGATAGGTCGTATGTCGACGTTACGTAATAAAACGGAAGGAAAAAGGCCTGAATCATGCAGCCAGGGTTGATTTAAATATCGCTACTCACTGTGAACTGAGGGCGAGCTTCCGTGATCCTCGAAGTCGCTCGGAGTCGCGACGGATCGTACGACTGGCAGCTCCGGGTCTCTGTCTCGGCCTGGACTCGCCTCGGACGCGGGGCCGTCGGCCTGCCAAGGGCGCCCTGACGCGCTCGAGTGCTGGGCCCGAGTTTGGGGTTAGGTACCGGCACGAAAGCGACAGTAAAACGCGGCTGCGGAATCAATTCGGGAAATGAAACATCACTCCAAAAGAAACTAAGCCGAGCGGAAACCGAGACCTCGCTTCATCATCCTATGTTTTGACACGGACACCGATAACGGACTCGTTGGCCACCTGGCGAGCTTTCGGGGAACCGACGATCGCTGGCGCTGCCAACAACGCAGGGGCGACAAAAGCGCCATGTTAACCTAGGAGATCTTTTGCGAACTAAACCAGGGAGAATAAAAATCATTGCGAAGGTTCTGGGAAATTTCTATGCGACGGTTTTCTGATGCTATCACGTAGCGCTGAGATAGGCATTGACGCGTCACTCAATGAGACAAGTGTTTCTATGACATCTGGTGGCGATTGCTTGAAGTGCGTGTATATTCTTAACGAGTTATTTGGATGGCAGCGCTAATTTGTACCGTGGTCTTTTTTTTAAATAATTCATAACCTTAAAACTTATCGACTGCATAATTGTATGATAATGTAGTCTTATTCTAGCATCTATTTATTCCTACTTTCTTTTTAGAGATAACTGACTTGACGTTGCGTAACTGAGAATTTATCGGAGAACTATATTCTTGTCTTTTTTATTATGTAAAATCCTGATTGAATATGGATACTGACTTGTAAATTATGAACTGTTTAACACACGTGCAACGTGTGAGAATGTTATATAAGACCATTTTAAAACTTCATCGAGGTCTACCCGAAGAAATCCAATCTCTGGGGAATACTTACGTTCGCGACGAATTCAGAAGGCATAAAAAATGTTCACCGACAGAAGCAAATGTGTTTATCAATGAATGGGCGGTAAGTACTTGCGACAGAGTATGTTATATCAATATCTTATAATCGAATCATAAATTTCTGTGAATTTTAGGATTATGCAGTGTCATTAGCCGAGCAGCTTGGATTACAGGGCCCACGTACTGCAAAACCTTTAGGAAAACATATGGAGATACAAGAATTAGATAAACTTAGAGATGAACAAGTCTATCAATTATATGAATTAATGGTAGCGGCACTAGGCAAATCGGAAAGCAAGGGAGAGACTTAAAAATGATTCAATAATTATTTATTGCGAAATGTATGAAATTATTCTTACTATAATATGACACTTTTCTGTTTACTAATTACAGTAACATTATAGTAAACAGTAGGCTTTCTCTTATGTTTGAAGTTTTGAAAGAAGTATTATAATTTATCAAATGAAAGCTTGGAAAAATTCAGCCAGCTTGATTTTGGCAGTACGCCATAATTCACAGTTCGATCAAGCATTGGCTTGTCAAAGCGTAAGTGTATAATGCATTAGATACTTGTATCGATCACTCGTTATTACAATTTCCATTATGATTTCAGTGTAATTATCGATTACTATGTCTCAAACGCCAAGAGACATCAAGTTTCATGCCAGGGGCATATGTATTTCCTGGTGGACTTACAGAAATAGCTGATGCAGATTTAAAATGGCAGAAACTTTTTCTAAAATTTGGATTAACTAATAATTTTTTTACATCTCTATTACCTCAATCGGACAATCGACCTCTTATATTCAAATCTGAACCTAACGAACTGCGTAAGGAGATATCGCTACGTATAACTGCTATTCGTGAAACATTTGAAGAGAGCGGCATACTCCTATGTCGGCAGAAGAAAGACCCTGAAGATTTAAAATGGGGGCAGTACATCGAAGGTGACGCAAGCATATTCTTCACTTGTAAAATATTTGCATGTGCAGAATTGAATATGTCAAGAAAAAATATTTATTACAGGTGAAGAGGTGAACTCATGGCAAATCAAAGTACAAAAAGATGCCTCCAAATTTTATGAGATGTGCGAGTCCTTACAGTGCGTTCCAGATTTATGGGCTCTTCAGGAATGGAGTAACTGGTTAACTCCAGCATTCCTGGATAAAAAACGTTATAACACCATTTTCTATTTTGCTGCTTTACCAACATTACCTCAAACTAAGCTGCAACACACAGAAATGGCTGATCTCCAAGTAATTAAAAGAAACTTCAGGCAAAAAACCTTGTGAATATACGAACGCTACTAAATTATGTATAAATCATTAACATTGACTATTGTTCTAGTGGGACTATCCGAATAATTTCTTATCCAACGCGGACATTTTTTTACCATCACCGCAGCTGTATGAAATAACGAGGATGTCAAAGTTCAAACAAATAAATGACTTGTTTAAATGTGCCATTTTACGCAATTCAATAGGAACGCAATTGTGGCTACCAGTAAGTAGCCACGTACCTCAATTAATAATGAACTGATTCGTAGTTTAATAAGTTTTCTTTTTTTTCATAGGTGAAAGTGAGTTTAGCTAATGGCTTTGTGGCCATTCTTCCTGGGGATTCCATGTATCCCGCAAAAGTAGATTTGATTAAAACAGAGGCTATTATTGAAGATAATAAAACCATAGAAGATTTCCAGAGAATATCCTTTGTAAAGAACAGAATCGAATTTCATGATTCTGGCGAGAGAAGAATAGTAGTTGAAAACTTCAAAAGTATAGAAGAAAATGTATCGTCGATGTTATAAGAAGCACATGAAGAATTACTGTTTAAAAAACAGTTTAGACAGCTTCGTGTATGTATATTATGTACAAAAATTGACGATATAACTTTAATGTTAGTTACAAATAAATGTACTGGTTTTTCTGTTTCCATTCGTTCCTTTGCTTCTTTTGTGTATGTGTAAAATATTGTAGAGGCACCAATTTTGTAGGTAGAAAATGATTTGCTATCGTTTCATTTTTATTTTATTATTGAATATTAGAGTTTTAGTCAATAGCGTAAAAAATAAGTATACACACAATTATTTCAATGCCTTCTGCAGCGAAAAGGTTTAAAAATGTTCGAATCTCGTTGCACCGTCCAGCGAAAAAGAATTGAAGTGACAAGAAGAGTTACTGGAAAGTTATCCAGGGAATATAATTACCATTTAAGACAAGCATTGGCCAGTTTAAATTATATACGACAGATGGCGCTGCCATTATTTTCCGCTTACGAAATTTGGCGGGAGTAAATAGTTGGTTATAATTTGGAGGACTGTAAGTCGTATGGATGAGCTTACGTTAAAAGAGAAATAAATGTGCTTGATTAAACGTATAATCATATTCTGCTCCAGGTGACGTGCAACAAACTAATTCGGTTAAAATACAGAAGATGGAATTTGTTAGGAAGCATGTTCCGGTTCAGAAAGAAATTAGTAATTTGCAACAATTGTATCCCCATGACATGCAATTTTATAAACTTCCACCTATGGATGAGATTTCTCTCAGTGAATTCGAAGAATTTGGCAGAGAAAGAGTTAAAGGTGAGATAATTTCTTTTCTTTTTTTATTGTAATACAACCAAATGTTATTGTCGTACAGTTCTGAGGTCAGTGGAGACTATCCTTTCTTGGAAGAATCTGAAATCTCCAGTTGAACGTAGAGAAGCTTTGTGCGATGCTTTAAATAAAGATGGATTGACTTATTTTGCTAAATTAATTAATGGCTCTGGATGCTCAAGACATACAGACGTAGAGCTTCAAGCTAGACGTAGAGACCATATATCTCATTTTATAGCACGATTATCCTTCTGTCGAAATAATGATTTAAGGCGTTGGTTTACCGTTCAAGAAGTAGAGCTATTTAAATTAAGGTTCTCTGCTTTAAACAAAGAAGGTACAGATCGGCTCCTAGAGATTAGTGGTTTGGGTCATTTACCGGTAAGTGTTTCGATTCCATAATTAAACCATCGCATTTTTATCGATCATTTCTTTGATTATTTTTCAAGATTTCTGAAGAAGAGAAGGAAAAAATTAGAACACGTTTGCATGACTCGACGGCAAGGCTCAATGTTAATATTGATAAAACTGAGTTTTATAAAGTTCGATTTGAAAATGTGACTGAACTGGTAAGGAGTCGCAAGGTTTTCCTTAAGGATGGATTTGCATATGTGCCTCAAACTGAATTAGTGTGGGTGTTCCTATCACATTACAAAAGGAGTTTGTGCGCTCATCTACAGGTGTCAAATATTTTTATTTCAGTTCATCTCAATTCCAAGTTTTTACTTTAAATAACCTTGAGTATTTTTTTTTTACTTTAACAGTATGCTCATCGCAGCCTGTCTAAATGCTCCGATGATGAACGAATATACACGTATCTGGAAAACCTTTGCAAAACTAATACAGTGAAGGATAATGTTCAATGGGACACCACTGAAATTTCTATCGATTCCCTAGATGAGGTATGGATACCGGTTATTATTTCCAAAACTTTTATTTATCTATTTCTTTTCTACTGATAATTTAATTTCCAGTTGTCCAAAATTTCATATCCCCTTTGCATGAGGGTGCTACATGAAGCTCTACGTACCAAACATCATCTCAAAAATAGTGGACGTGTGCAGTACGGGTTATTTATCAAGGGTATTGGCGTCACCCTGGAAGATTCAATGAATTTTTGGAAAACAGAATTCTGTCACAATATGGATGGGGAAACATTTGACAAGAAATATAGCTATCATATTAGACATTCGTATGGCAAAGAAGGAAAGCGTACAAACTATACACCCATGAGTTGTAACAAAATTATAAATTCTACAGTCGGACCTGGCGAATGCCATGGTTGTCCGTTCCGGCATGTGTCATACGAGGAGCTGAAGCAAAAGTTAACTGGTTATGGACTGTATTCTGCTGGTAATTTATAGACATCCTTCCAAATAACATCTCTTATATTTACCTGTAAAATACTGTTTGTTCTTTTGAAAGATTCTTATCCTTTTTTAAATGTCTATAAAATTTACCTTTTTCAGCGGTTACAGAGATTGCAGATACAGCTAAGGAAGGCCATTACCAAGTGGCGTGCTCCAAATATTTTCAGAAACTACACAATACACTGGAAGAAGAAATCATTCTACATCCGAACAGATATTTTCACAAGAGTCGTGAACTATTGGTTGGAAATTCCATTGCACCAGGTGAGCTCGCAAGTCCTTTTCCAAGATAATATATGATTTTATGTATTCAATAATCGCACTTCCTCTCACACTTTAACTAAAGAGTTACAATTAAAAAATGGATTACATTAAATGCCTATAAGCTCCTTATCTAAAAAACTATTTCAGATACTCAACCGTCCAAAGACAAGGGACTGATGGATGTCGACGAACCAATGGACACGGCACAACAATAATAATCACTATTTCAAGAAAAGATGTGGTTGATCCATATAAATAGTTTTACAGAAGTTTTCATATTACAATTTAATGTGAATAAATATTTATGAGCAAAATTCCATGCGATTGGGAGACAATATGGTAATTAAATTATACCTTAAAAAACTAATCACTTATTTTTCAGCCGATGCATCAGCCAGACATAGGTGAAACTTCACTAAAAATGATAAGCAATGTTTTAAAAAAAGATTACATTTCTGCTAAATACGTTTTTAAGTAGTAGTATCGGTTTCAGATATCCACGTGAGAACAGCTTGTCAGAGTATTCGTTTCACTTTATGTTTCTTCGACCATTACACGTAGCTGTGAACTTTTTTCAAAGTCTGGTACTTTGGTATGTAATTCTCGGTAACGTCTCTAATCATGCTTTGAACGAGTCTGTCAAGATCATATTTATGCTGCCATCCCCAATCTTTGCGAGCCTCGCTGTCATCGAAAACTTGCGGCCACGTATCAGCTGTAAACGTAAACATCTAATTAACATCACCGCAATGACGTTAGCTCCGATTACCTCACTTAAAGTAGTGAGCGTATTTCCTTATCGCTCATTAAAAAAAAACTCTCCGCAGGTGAGGATAAATATTTCTCGAGTTACCAGCGACGTAGCTGAAAGTACGCATCGATAAGATCGATAGAAAAATTGATGTTGATTAGCAAATTACATAATTCATAACTAGGGAGGAAGAATTGAAACGTATGTAAATTGAATTCGAGACATCTATACGTGAGTTTACTTATCCTTCCTCGGAATTTACAAAGGTGTTAAAAGTGCAGCTTCACGACAAAACTGTAATTGGTCAAAGAGCAGTGTTTTCTAGTGGTGAATTTATTTTGAAAGCACCAGAATTATGTCAGTCACCTCTATTCTGTTGCTCTTAAGAAATAGTACCTTTGCGGTTCGACGATCTCACGCACATGCACTAGTCGCGTCGCTCCTTATTCCAGTTCATTTTAAATTTCTACTTTACAGGCCAATTCCTTTACGGAACAAATGTCGACGAGGAAGAAGACATTTAAAAAAAAATTATTTGGTCTTAATTAAACCCATCCTTTTAGGAGAAAATAATTACCTATCAGCTGTCGCTTGTCTGGTTTGTACGTAATATCCAGATCGGGAACGTGTTGCTTCAGCTTTTCGAACAATTCTTCAGGAGTGAAGCTCATCGCCGAGACGTTATAAACTCTTCTTCTTAATCGCTCGTTAGGCGTGTTTAGGAACTTGACGAGGGCCGACAAACAGTCTTCGATGTACATCATGGGCAAACGAGTCTTCGGTTTTAGGTAGCACTCGTATTTTTTATTTTGCAACCCTTCGTGAAACACCGCGACTGCGTAATCTGCGAAAAGAGAAATGCAAACGTACTAACTGCCGGTTGATTTGGATTATAAGTGAAAAGGAAATGACGGAAAGATTATCTTAAGAAATTACTCGGTGCTCTTGTGCACGACAAATTTCCTAATGACGATAAACTGGTATTTCGATGATGGTGCAGTTAGCCGAGCCGGTCTGGTTATTCCAAAAAGTGGCCGAAAAGAGAGATTCCAAGGTACGCTTACTTTGAACCAAATAGCCACGATAAATTATAGATGGATGTTATTAATATTAAATTAATTAATGAAGAACGTTTGCTCGAGTTCAGGTACCGGTAGTTCCGCCGCCCGGTGGGTCACAGCTGATGACTCCTGGAAACCGTAAACAGCGAAAATCCAGGCCAAACCTATGGTGATAATATTCCCCCAAGAGTTCCGCGTGGACCTTGCTGACCCCATAAATTGTCCGAGGACGTTGAATCGTGATATTTGGAGTCGGATTCCTGGGAGAGTCAGGACCAAACGCGCCGATGGTCGAAGGTACGAAGATTCTCAGTCGATACTGCTTAGCCAACTCCATGACGTTGTGCATGCCTATAAAAAACGCACCACATGGCTAGGAAATATGTGATAAATTCTTACGAATTTTGTCCAAGCTCTAAGAAATATGAAAAATAATTTCAAGGAAGACGGAGTACCTTCGATATTGACCTTAATAGCCAGAGGTACATTCTGTTCTCCAATGGCGCTGAGAAGAGCACTGAAGTGGATGAGCCAGTCGATCCTCTCGTTCACCACGATTTTCTGCAGTCCTTTGAAATCAAGGATGTCCGCAAAGGCGAAAGGTTCGTCCTGGGTAACGTTATCGGAAGGCTTAATGATGTCAGAGAGGATAACGTTGTCTCTTCCGTAGATCTTCCGGAGACACTTCGCGCATTCGATGCCCAGCTGTCCAAGGCCACCTGAATGATGGGCAGGATAACAGAAACAGAAAGTAAAAACTAATCGGTCAACGTAGAACTTGAAATTTGTACGACTTGCCTGTTATCAGTATCCTCGGAGATTTCCGGGAAGCCTCGGAATCGCCTTCGTTCCCGAATACGGATGTGTGTCGACGAGGAACGGAAACGCTGAAGCTCCTGAAGACTCTTCCCAGGTCTCCCTGGCTTCGAATTTGAAGCGAAACTCTGCCGATCATTTTAATCCGAGTCGCAGCTCCAAGCAACGGAAGTTTTAGAGTGGACGGATTTCTCTCACGGGGCGAAATTCTGTCCCCTACCAACGTTTCTCTTACTCTTCGATATCGCCGCAGGGAAATGGGAGGAACTAACGGCCTTGGGCTGGACCCCGATCACCGAGCTATTCGAGTATTCACGAACAGCGACTCCTTCTGCTCGGCAGTCGACCTGCAACTGAAGAAAGATCACCTTATCGTGCGCTATTATGTGTATGTATAGAGCAACGCGGTTTAAAAACCAGTTCAGCGAGAAGACAACATCCATCTATACGCGTACCTATGCTAGGGTAGACTTTAACATAATTATACGGTGTTTCGCATGTGTAAAAATATCCCTCACATGGCAAGGTAGATGAGAAATAGGAATGTTCTCCATAAGATCGGTGCAAAGGGTCGCTCGATCCATTTCACGTACTTAATCGCAGGATCTTATTTATTTATTTATTTTTTCTCAATGTAGGTAGACAAAATTTAGACAAAAATTAGGAAGCGAATACCTGAACCGAACGATTTTCGGGCCTGATTGTGTAGATTCAGGTCTTCCTTGGCAGCTCGTATCTGTGAAACGAGGACACGCATAACCTGAAACGGGAGGTCGAATATAAGCCTTTATGTACAATAGTATGTACTCGGAAGAGCGCCGAAAATAGCGAAAGATAGCAGGTAAGATCAGGGTAATATCAGGATCTCGCGAGCACCTCCCACGGCGATGGAAGCTGGATGGCGTGATCCAGGGACTCGAATTGTTTACGCGCTCTAAAACGTCCGTGACATCGGAATCAGCTAGCAACCGGTTTTTGAATTTAATACGTGCTGTCTCATGCGATTACCGATCCGAGCACTCTTCAGGGGGCTTGTCTTTGCGGCTCTACGCGCGATTGACTCTTGCCAGCTCCTGGTGGAAGTTGGACCCGTTCACTTTTCTTTCTCCCAACTCTCCCTTTGTGGCAATACCAGCTAATGGTCGACAATCAAATACCCTATCTCATGAAATCCTGGATACTCGCCCTGAAATTCTAACAACTTATGTACTAGATTTTACAGTAAATTATGAGTTAATTAATTTGGAGTAATTTACCTGCGGAGAGTATTAGATACCGGCGATGGAAAAAATTCAGGGTGATGATGTACCCTGGATTTTAGTGCCTAAGGTGTTGGACATTTTTCTTAACTTCCTAGTTAGGTAATTACTGTACTCGTTTTGTCACTTTTTAGATTTAACTGAGGTTTCGGGGGAAGGGAAGATTTCCTGGAAGCGTCTCTTCACGGTCTCTGGATACACACTTCGCAATTCCACGTTCCACTCTGCCCTCCTACCGGGCCACCTTTCCCCGTGGCCTGCTCCTAGGGACTGCATCGGGGAAGAAGCCTTCTTCTTTGCTGGAAATTTAGTGCGTGTTAAGAATCAAACCCTGAAAGATGCTCCGTGCTGACGGCGAGGCGAGCCACAACGGAGGACACTCTTACTCGTACTCGAGGATTTTGCAATTGCACAGGTGGGTACCTAGTGAATATATATAAAGACATAATAGAATAGAATTAAATTAACGAAACGTAATGCAGTATTATAATACGTCGTCGGCTGTTTTTCTAATTTATAGGCCTCGCAAGTGTTCCCCAAGAGTCGTGAAAAAATATACCAAGAGTAATAATAAGATAGGATAAAGGATTTTAAATATCCTGATTTCTTTTTTTCCCCCTCAAAAACCCATTAAAAGGAACAAAATATATTTAAGAAGCACCCTGGCGATCAGCGTGGATGAAAATTTATTTAATTCGTAATTTAGACACCTCTTAAGTGTAAAACGCCGCAAATGGTATCATTAAAAGGGCAAGATTTAACCTTGGATTTAAACCCGAGAGTGAAACCAATTTATGCAGGAATCATCCGTGACGATGATGCACCGTCCGGAATTTCTCATTCAGGATTAATGGCCGTATAAACGATCGCTTCATCTCCTACTACGGTGAATTAATGAATACCATTTGACTGGGATATCTAATTAAGGTGTACGCAACTTCTTCGTCGTGATCGAACATCGGGCGAAGATCAAAGAACTCTTGCGATAACTACTGGACGATTGTCTTGCCACTTAACTGCTTTACGTAACTACGTATGATTAGAGGTTGCAAAGAATGTGCAGGAAGTAGGAATCACTTTCACCGGTGCAACGAAGTGCTCTGTCCTTCGAGTCCCTATTTCCAGCAAGACCGCTCGGCTTTCTTTCTCCTTTTACCTAAAGTTAACGCGGTACAATAGCGTCAATAATACTTTCCAATAACAAAGTTACTATTAGTTAATGACCTAGAGGGGAATTTATCTTAACTTTTAACATGTACGCCGTAAAAGCCAGCTCTCGAGGAACACATAAGTCCTCCACCTTCTAGGCTCGCCTTTCGGGAGACTTCAACGTAAACGCCTTGCACACGCAAGAGCGCAATTATTACGGAAAACAGGAATTGTCGTAGCGGGTCGGGCCATGCTTACGGTATGCGAACATCAATTTTGTCGCCTGCGACCGTGAAGCGCAGCCGAATAGCTTCAAAGACCAGCAGCGGTTCGCGTTAACAGCGAGTTTAAACGGAGATTAGGAGCCAGGAATAGAATGAAAAATATAGCAACAATTCTGCGAGTACTTGTGGCATCCATCCCGCTCTTAGGATTAAAATATTAATTTTTTTTTCACGATTTTTCAGGCTACTCGACAGAAAGTCCTGTTACCCACTATGGCTCGTTCGAGGAGGACCGAGGGTCTCCTGGTGACGACGAGTTTCCTCGTCTTCTGCTGCACGGGGGTCGCAGTAGCTCATTCCAATACTCCTATGTACGCATGCCCTCCCCAAGAAGTAATCCTGCCATGTAGATGCTCGACGAGGGACTCTGAAATACAGATTTGGTAAAAGAGAATCCAGAGATCGGTTAATTAGGTTGCTAAAAAAATCACCTCGGTACATGGACTCGTCTCAGACAAAGTTGCGCATCGAATATTGAACCTAGTTCGAGGCTGCAATTAGTCCCCACCGGTCTAACACTTGTATGCAAAATTTGGAACCAACTGCCGGAGGGTAATTAAGGCGTCTTAATGAAGGTACAATTTTAGGTGCAGTCATAGCGAATTGCCGAAGGTCCTCGAAGGCCTTGAAGCGGTGGGTCGCTACGCGAGTCGCTCCATCGATGAATTGATCCTGGAAAATAATAATCTACCGAGTCTTCCAGGAAGAGCTTTTGGAAGTCTGAGAGTCATGAGGCTCATGCTGAGGAATAATCGCCTGGAGAGGGTCTCTTCGGGGTGGTTAGAGGGTCTTCATGGATCGCTGTTGGAGCTCTTCCTGGTGGAGCCTGATCTGCGCTCTCTGCCGATAGACAGTCTGGAGAATCTGCACAGCCTGGAGGCGATCACTCTGCAAAGCAAATCCATGAAGAGGTTGCCGAAGTTCTCAGGCCTGAGGAAGTTGAGGTACCTGCAAGTCAATTCCCCGGCTCTGCTGGAACTGACTCCGAGGAACTTCCGAGATCTGCCCAGCTTGGAACAACTCCACGTCTTTGGGAGCAAGAACCTGGTCAGACTGGAAGCTGGTCTGCTGCGTGATCTGCCTAGATTAACCCTGGTCAACATCACGGAGTGCGGGATCAATTGGATACATCCTAGAGCGATGATTGCCTTACCCGAGTTAAGAGACGTTTCCCTCGTTGGCAATGCCATGAGCGATGCTGCCATGGTTGGCAGAGCTGTTGCAGATCTTCCAATGCTTACCGTCGTTCGCTTGGATCGCAACAGACTGACGAGATTAGGAGAAACGTCCTTCGTCGACCTGCCTACTTTGTCGAGGCTTTACCTGTCCCGGAATGCCATCACTGAAATATTTCCAGGTGACAAAGTTGAACAATTTCAGGTAAAATCGGATAATTTCGTGGGATGGTAGGTAAAAATACTCATTTTTTCAGGTGCCTTCCAGAGACTACCTGCCCTGCGAGTCGTCGACCTCAATCACAACCTGGTGCGCCGAATACACCCTGACTTTTTCCCTCGAGGAAGTGCCAGCGGGCTCGAGGAGATGTGGCTCGTCAACAACGATCTAGGTCGAGTAGCCGAGTTGCGATCGGTCCTGGAGGCTCTTCCAAGGCTTAAGTTCCTCGACGTCAGTAGAAACAGACTAGAGGAGATCCCTTTCGGTGCTCTTCGGGGTCACCCTACCCTGGAACGCCTTCATCTGGACCATAACGGCCTGAGTTTCCTCCAGAGGGAGACGTTCACCGCTATGCCAGCGCTTCGGGAACTCAGGCTTAGGAATAATTCCCTGTCGAACTTGCTCGAGGGACCGTTCTGGAATTTGCCAGCCTTGAAGGTAGGCAGCTCTACTCCTTCTATTTTGAATATTTTACGGGAAATTTACAGAAGAGCTCCTTTGCTTAAATTCTGGCTTCTCTATTCCAGGGTCTGGATCTCGCCGAAAATTACTTCCGCCACCTGGACCCTCGATTGCTGAAGAGCCTGCCGAACCTCCGAAGACTCGACCTCAGTGGAAATGCGATTGGACTGGTGGACCCCAAGTCCTTCCTGGGCACTCCTTCCCTGGAGCACGTCAACGTGTCAGGAAACGCCCTTTCCGTCCTCCATCCGATGACTTTCTCACATCTCACGAACCTTTACGAGCTCGACATAAGTCGGAACAGACTCGTCGAGGTGGTACCGGGTCTGCCGAGGAACATCGAGCACCTCCACCTATCCCTGAACAGGATCGTCGCCTTGCCGTCGATGTCTTCGAGGGACTTGGCGCTTCCATCTCTAAGATCCCTAGACATCAGTGCAAACGGGATCGAGAGGATACCACCAGGCACCTTGAGTGAACTTCCAAATCTAAGAAAGTTAGACCTCGCATTCAACGCTCTGGTGTCGGTGGAAGATGGCACCTTCGACGGCCTTCTTCGCCTTGAACGGTTGATCCTTGACGAGAACCGACTGATGTCCATTCATGGTCGTGGCCTCAGACCTGTAAGGTCGTTGAGCGATCTGAGTCTCAGTGGGAACCGTCTAGAGGTCCTCAGACCGGACGTTTTCCAGGAGAATTCAAGGCTGCAGAAACTGGACCTGAGCGGAAACGGCTTGGCGCAAATCCCTCACGCTGTCTTCACCGGCACCCGGTGGGTCCCCTCGTCTCGATTATTCCATCGGGTCGCTCCCCAACTAAAAAACTAGTTTCACTGGGCAATTTTCACGTTGCATAATGAACGAGTATGTCGGTCTTTACCGACAATTAGGTAGAAAGTCCACTCGTGTGGTCGCGGCTCGCTGTGTCGCGCCAAGGTTTTCTCGCTGGGGAACGAAAGTACTTGTTATAGAACGAAAGTATCCAATCAGGGTGTTTAATTAAAATTCATTAAACTTAAAGCTGCGACTAATACCTCGTGTTTCTAGGGAGCTTCGAGAACTGTACGCCTCGCATAATGCTTTGACGGAATTGCCTGGATCCCTGTACGGTCTGACCGCTCTTCGCATCTTGGACTTGAGTTACAACGAACTCAACGGCTTGTCGCCGGAAGCTTTGAGCAGCCTCTCGTCTTTGTTGGAGCTCAAACTGACCAGGAATAAAATCAGGGAACTGCGAAGCGGAGCCTTTGATGGCCTACCGAAATTGAGTCTCGTTGATCTCGAAAGCAACGAACTGATGACCATCGAAAGGGGCGCAGTCAGGGCTCTGCCGGAGCTGCAGGCCCTGCGACTAGGAAAAAACCTTTTACAGGTGCTGACCATCCTAAAGCATACCTTTTTAATTCATCTTGCACTGTTAAAGATCGATGGGAATTTGCATATATCTTTACACACCTCAGAAATGAAGTTCCACTCCAAAAATCGTGACAAAGAGGTGTTACCAATTAGAAAATGTACTAACGTAACTTTGCGTATTTACCGTGTCAGTGCATATTTACTTGAATTAACTGTAACATCACGTTATAATTTTCTTTAACTTAACTTAGTCGCCTGATGTGACATTGCAGAGACGGTGTAATTTTCCTGCAATTTATTGCGCCACCGAAATAACAATGTAACCGATAATTAAGTAAATTTACGTGGGCATTTTTATCAGTGTAGGGTTACGGGGCATATCGCTGAACATTTTGGAGCAGTCGCAGAATTGAATTATATTTTTGCTGTTAACAGATGATACCAGGAGGTGCTTTTATGGAGCTTCCCCTGCTCCGCAGCGTGGAGTTGCAAGAGAATCGTCTCCGGGAGATCTTGCCGGACGCTTTCGTGGACGTTCCGCACCTGTTGTTCCTGAACCTGAGTTACAATCTCTTCCCCGATCTTCAGTACGTCGGGTTAGAAGGGTTGACCTCCCTGGAGGTTCTGGACCTTAGCCATAACCGACTGTCCAGGGTTGCGAGCGAGAGCCTGGCCAACATGGAATGGTTGGTCGAGCTGAAGGTAAGACAGCTCGAGCGTGGAGGCGCGGAAACGACTTTCTTGTAGAGAGCGAAACTTCGTCGTCACGAGGAGAGTAATCTCCCCGTTACGCCTTCGTAGAAATTCTAATTGCGATCTCTATTGTAGATGGACGACAATCGGATTTGCGGGATACTTGGTTCGCCCTTCGACGACATGCCGCGACTCAGGGTCCTCAGTCTCAGAAGTAACAGGATGGCTTCGGTCGCAGAGAATGCCTTCAAAAAGCTGCGGTCCAATATCGCCGTCCTGGACATAGACGGTATGTTAAATTCCCTCCTGAAGAAGCTTAATTATTTATCGTAAATATTTTCAATTTTAGCCATTAAATATATTAAACGATGAGCAATGTATCTACTTGTACCTGGATTTTGTTGAAAGGTAATCCTCTTTCCTGCACGTGTGGGATGCTCTGGCTCCGAGGTTGGTTACAGCAAGCTTCAGCCGAGGGTCCTAGATGTGCCGATGGGTCCCTCTTCAGGGAAGTGAGACTTTCTCGCCAGGAATGTCAAGGAGATACTCGAAGACTCGAGCCAGTAGTTCCTGGATGCGAGACAGAGATGATAGACGGCTCGGCGATTTCTTCTTCATCTCGTAAGCATTCTTCAGGAATGTTCTGCAAAGTTCAGTTATTAATCGTATGATCTTGATGTCAGTGTACGGAGGAGGTTCCTTGTGGATGGATCTGAAGGAGGCAACGACGCCCCAGGTGCGACCTGTCCACGGAGCTAATGGTACCGAGTACCTCTACGACTATGAGTACCTGGACTACGTGTCCGAAAACTCGGGAATGGGTGGCCCTTCGTCTACGGCGACTCCAGAGCCATCGACAATAATTTCTACATCTCCCGAGACCCCTCGTCGACCTGTAGAAATTACAGGAGCGACGTCATCTTCGAAGGTTCCCAGCAAAAACTTAACGAAGACGAGCCCATCTTCCACGGGGCTTCCTTCTCCCAGCAGCTCCGGCTTCACCTTCTTCGGGGTTCCTTTGCCGAGTCTCAGTTTCGACCTCTGGGGGAACTCCAAAAGGAAGAGCCAAAGAAAGAACGACGCAAGGCCAGGTCGAGGTCACTTCGGAGCATTTCCACCTACGGAGCCAGAGATCCATCGGGGTGGCTTCGTCCCACTTCCCAGAGGCGAGTCTGGCTTCATGCCCATGCCTGATCCTCGCCAAACTCGCAAGAAAAATTTGACTGAGAAGCCAAGGGTCTCCGACAACATCAGGACCACTCCTCGACCCCTGGAAAAGCGGTTAAACGCGAGTCTGAATTTATTGAAGAGGGTTAACTCTTCTGAGTCGAGGGGACTCAGAGCTACGGAAGCTTCATCTTCTACGGAAGCTTATGAGACCATGAGTTATCGAGAAAATTCGACATTGAGTAGGACTTCAGGTGGTTCACGCGAAGGACATACCAGTAAAGTTGTATGGACGACACCTAAATTTTCTACGAAGGAGTCTGCGACAGCTACGATGGAGGTCTTCGGCTCAAAAGAGACCAGCTCATGGGACTTCGAAGAGGACTCGAAGGTCATCTCTAGGGAGCCTACAGCTTCCAGCGTGAAAATGGATGGCCCTGATGGTAGGATATTTGGAGAGATACCTTTTAATAATTAATAAATTGATATATTAAAACTTACCATTTTTTAGTCGAAATCCAGGCTGAGGCTATCAGGACGGATCGACCACAGGCTTTGGAATCCTCCCTGAGAGAGTCTTCAACTTCTACTCCAAAAGAAAGCACTACTTGTTCTACGACTCGATCCAGCAATGCCATGGAAGCTTCCGCCTTGTCAGCTTTCCTGGTTCCTGGTGGACAGATTCCATTAGGGGTTCGTTCCTCAGGGAGGCCAACCATTACCAAAGTGTCCTCACCTAGTCTGGTGGTGTCGACAAAAATAATTCAGAATGATACGGAAAGCTCTCCGATAGACTTTATTGAGACAGCCAGAGTGGAAAGCACTAAGTATAAGGAGAAGACAGAGAATGAATCGACCTTGTCTCCGGAGAAACGTCTTAGGGAAATAGAAGATAGTGCCTTCAGTTGGTACTTCCAGCATTACAACGATAGTAATGTGGAGCCATACGTTGGTGAGGTTTATAAAAATATAGGAGTTGCAAAGTGTGGTTGGTGGACTTTGTTATGGACTCAAGTGTACATCCTTGTTCGAATGGTAGAATGAGGAGACAAGTTGAAAAGCTTTATTTTAGCTTTAAATTAACTTGTGTAAATATAAGATAATTTTAATAAAGTCGTTGCGAATATTAACGACAGTGGAACAGGATCCATCGCCTGAAGCTTTTAAATGGCACACATGTAGGTAATGATGCTTTATTAATGTTACGATTCATTCTTGTAGAGGCTCAGAAGACTTAAAAAATACAATACCTAGTTCGTATAAAATGGTTAACACTTTCTTGCACACACCAAACGAAGTGGGGAATACATCCCATCAAAGTATGTTCGCCATACCTTTTTACATTGGTTACACTTTAAACTGGCGACTTTTATTGTTAAAAGTACATTCTGTACAATTAATGCAGTGTCCTATCGCGAGGCGACGTACAAACTGCATAGAAGACTCGCCCCTGACAGTGGCAGTATTCGACGCAACAAATCAATTTCAATAGCTCGCACATGTACTCATCACTTTACCTTACTCTTCTCCTTTTCATCTTTTTTCTCTTCCTCTTTCTTATCGTCTTTCTTCGTTTCTTTCTTTTCCGCATCACGATTCGTTAACTTATTATTAATGAGATTGTGTAACGCAACTATTGACCTAACAAGGGCGGCTAGATAAACTACCAACATTTGATCGTTTGTCTTAACATAAAGAGAATCGACAAAAGTGCCTTGCGTCATGTCTGGAAGTAAGTTAAAGATGTCTTGTAGCTGGTAGACAATCTGGTGATTTATTGGCAGTTTGCCATTACCAACCTGTAATTTTTCAATGGCAATGTTTTAAAAATTCCAAATATTAAGATGTATTTAATTCACCAATAGAAAACAGACCTGTAGGAGGTAATCTCTGATTTCTCTGATTTGCGCATGAAGTCCCTTAAGTCCCAAAAGTTGATTCGTAATTCTCTGGCTCAAAGTACCAACCGTAGTATCTTTAATATCTCTCAGTAAATGTTCCACGCCGACCTCCTCGGCTTCCTCCGCTCCAATTTCACTTGGGATATGCTCAAATGTTTTCGACGTCGGTGAACCATCCTGCAAACCATAAATTCACAGTATTACTTCTAATCGGAGTATAATTTTGTACTTTTTATGATCGATTCAACACACATACATCGTGAACCTCTTCGATAGCCTGATATGCTTCCGTCGGAAGTCCCAGATCTTTAGGCTTAGCGTCGATAATCACTAATACAGAGTTTGGGCAATACCGTCTAATAAGTTCATTAATAGCGACGTCGTTTTGGTGGAGTTTTGGTCCAGTATGATACCAGCCTACCACCTTCTCACGAGCTGCAAATTCAAACAAAAACCATTACGAGCCATAAACAAAGACAACGGTCTCTTTCCAATAAACCCACGACTTACCGTTGACTTTCTTGAACATGCCATACATGTTCTCCAGATAATCATGATCGAGGAACCAAACGGACTTGTCTTTATCGTCCTCATCAAAGGGAACTAAAAGTACAATTAAACCTCCCAGCATCAACACTCCCAATACAGTAAAATAAAACGATTTCAGAAATACGAGATCCTAACCTGCAAAACTGTTGGAGACGTCAAGGACTCCCTTAGCTCTCCAGCACCCTAAAAGCACTCCAACGACTCTCTTCTGATTACCGATCTTCCCCATTCGATTAAAATGGTCCACCACGCTCAGCAAGACGAGCGGGTGGACGACAACCTTCGTCGTGGCAATTTCTTGACTCGGCATTTTTGGCCGCTTGTTTCAACTTCTCGGGGCCGTCAAATCCAGTCAAGACTCGCCAACTCTCGTTTCGGGAATATCTCGAGTTTCACACCGCCAACAATGACTTGCGGCTGTATGTACTACATACAGTCTCTGTTACAGGCTTGCCACCAAAAGTACCAACTATCCAGTGATGATTCACTTTTTTATTAACCGCACTTTATACGCTCTCGGTATTCATAGGAAATGAAAAACACCGTTGGATTTTCACGTGGCCCCCGTTTCTCAGATTTAACAATATATTTTCTCAATAACATTCTGGACAGATTCCAATATATACAAAATCAACCGCTCATTTACAAGGTACTTTTACAAAAGATTAAAAAAAATTTGTCTTGTGTATGTGTACGTATGTGTGAGTATGGTCTGACGAGTAGGTGTGTGTGTACTCCTCCACGGCGCGTGCGGGAGGGCGGACGCACGCGCCTCCATCGTTTTACTTTTCCTTCTTTTTTTTTTTCCTTATAAACTAACGGAAAGCTGCAGACGGATCACTTCACAGTTCAATCTTAATAACTTACGGATCCCGGGAAAAAGTAACTAGCACGGATGCCAAGCTCGGTAGAGATCCAAGCCCATCCCGGAACATGTTGCAGTCATCGAACCATAATTTCACTTATGTCAACTTCTTTCGAGACTACAATATCACCGTTCCGTAGAATCGCTCATTAATGTAACGTTATTAAATTTAATTTCTAGACTCTTCATTCCGACGGTTCACCGTACAATGATCGCAACTAGTCCCGAAACGCAGCGTCGTCCCTACGATACCAATCTCCATGTTATCCGGAGATGCTCAAATTATCACCAAGGCTTACAAGGAACCTATAAGAAGACGTTATAACGAATTTAGATTTCCTGGCGAGTCAATTAATACGCAACTTTAATTTAGTCGAGAGCTTTAGTACGTAAAGTAACGGTGCATTCAATTGCTAAGCTTACCCGATGTATCTTGCAAGACGATTGGTATATAGGAATGCGAAGCTACCGAAGAGGCATGCCTTTTAAACTAAAACGACACTAATACACCTGCCTGCTTCCCCAATGTCTCCGAGGGAATCTCTCCGCGCTTATTAAAATAGCCCCGAATAGTGCCAAATTGAGAGCACTATATCTCTAGGTAATTTCTAGGGAAGTAAGCAGATGCATCGATGGTCAGCTTGTCGCTCGACGACATTCGGCGTAAGTTAAATAATAATAAACGGTCTTAAATTAACGTCGCTATCTTAATCACGAAGCTAGGGGGGTAAAAACGTGTCTACGGAGTCGCGCCGGTGAGCTTCTCCTTTTCGTATCTTTTTTTTTTCCTTTCTTTCTTCCTTTCTTTCTAGGCAGTCCGCGTGCACGTCGAGTTAACCGCAACTCAATCGTCGTCGTCGTCGTCGTCGTCGCAGTCGTCCTAGTTGTTATTAATCGATAATTAATAACCCACTAACTTTTGTGCTTGCAGCGTTACGTCGGATTGCACTAGGTGCAGCGAAGCGTGCGGTTAAACCATAACGAGACGTACTCTTACGCTAACTAGGAGCTAAGGGTTTCCTGCTTTTAAACTCACAACCACTTCTGCGTTACGCCTCCTCTAAATTAACCTTGCGGTTAGGCAAATTAATCGCATTAACGAGCTCGACAGCCTACCGGTGTGGTAAACTCGGTGTGCCTTGTGACATGGTTTTCGCTGAGTCCATTTGGCACGAATCGTTGTCACAATTTGGCGAAAGGTGCATCGAGAGAAGACTAAAGTACTGCGTTCTGTGACCTCTCGATACAGAATATTCATAAAACCAGATGCGAAGAGACTCTGCACACTTCAACTACGGAAGAGAAAAGATTTCTTTTGACGTTTACGTTTGATTTCCATCTAGAAAGGATTATTCGATCAGACGTTTACTTAATTTGCGAGCGTTTAAGGGGATGTAAAAGTGGCATCCGGAAGTTCAATTTTTCATTAAACTTTACTTCCAACTGGGTGTGTACCGAACCGAATTTTCAAACATTACAATGTGAACGCAGAGAGAAAATTTTTCAAAAAATATCTATAAACAAACTTTTGACAGATTGAAATTTCATGCATGTCAGGTCCTTCCTTACAGCCTCCATGTTCACGTTGTAGAGTTTATAACGATTTGGTACACCATGTTCGGTGAAAAGTTTCATAAACGGGTCTTCTTTGACGCCACTTTCGCATCGCCTTAACTATCGAATGTCGCATTTCGGTTCTTTGCTAAGGCTAACGTCGTCGAGTATACATGGACCAGAGAAAACCAGGCCGCGGAGATGTAACTTCCTGGCAGAGGAAATAAATAGATTCTCTCTTAAAGTAACGTCGCGAAGCTGTGTCGAAGGACAGCGCAGATCCCTACTCTACGGAAATCCATTTTTGTCCGGGTCTTTCTGACCGTTTGAACTAATCGTAAGACAAGCGTGAGCCGATCGAAAGACCGTAAAGCGATGCACTCTCGGAATACGATCGATCTCCAATGACGGTGCCCAAAGCTCAAAGCGAAAGCCTTCACGGAGTCCTTTACAGCCTGCTCGATGCAGAAATTGGAGGGGTCTTATTAGACTCCGGTGTGGTCTTTGCGCGTTTTCCTTTCCCTCCGGGAGTTTCCTTTCTCTCTTTTTTCCTTTTTTGGTTTGCATTCACAGCAGCAGCAGTATTTCGCCTTTCGGTCAGTCTTAAACAAGAAAAAACAAGCTTCACGCGCTCCCCTGGCTTCTCCAGCGAACATACAAAGCGTCTTGCCCCTCGTTTCAGCGCGTGCGGGTGCAGAAGCAGCCCTCCGTTGTAGCTTATTTTTTTCCTCGTTTTCCGTTTTCTTATGCACCGGTGCAATCGTACCAAGTGTTCCTTGCATGACCGATGAGAATGGAAGCTGGTGATTTATCGAAAATTTTTCGGGGGATCTTCCCTGCTAGAACCAAGCTTGCGAATATTAAGAAATTGCCTTTCCCACGGTGTTACGTATCACGAAAGAGAGAAATTCTTGTTATCGGAAGAGGAAAATCTGCGTATCTGGTTATCGAACTAGTCACTGGACGTCTAAAACTAAGTATGCCGGGGAACTTAGGAGAGATGGAATCGAGAAAGGCAAGATCTTTCTCCAGGCATAACTGTGTCCTTCTCCCAGGGAATTGTATAAATAAATCTTTAGGATATCTTAGAAATTCGGGATTTCTTCAAATTCTGGACGAAAAGAAAAACAAAACAAAACAAAACAAGAAGGTAAAATGAAATCTTGTTTGACGAAACGACGGTAGACTCCGACTTGCCAAATGAACACATTGCGGAAGTTAGTCTATCGATGTCGGTACCAAGTACGTATCGAGAACGTATAATTAAATTAAATCCTAGGAATTATGTTCGAGACAAGATTCCGTGAGAAAATACACAAGTCATCCCCTCGAAGCGTCTCGCGGCTCATATGATGCTCATTGAGCGGCGATATCGCTTCCGACTGGCCGCGGCGACATTAGGAACGGAGAGTGGTGCAGGAGGAGTGACCGGAGTGACAGGAGTCACAGGTGTCAAAGGAGATTCAGCCTGTTGGGCTGAAGAGGGGGGCCTGAGCTACCAAATGTAGTTTTCCGTCTGCGGTGCACGCATCACTCCCACACCTCCGCCTAGCCGCCTGTAATTCATGCAACCGCAAAGCCTCCACTGGTTCTGCTCCGGGTCGTAGACTTCTATCGTCTTCAGGTACGCCGTGCCATCGAAGCCACCCACCGCGTACAGTTGACCGTTGACTACAGCTAGGCCGACCTGTATCAATAATTAACCTCGTTGCATCAATCATTATTTCAAAATAGGTCAAAATACCTTAATGAAGAATTCTACAACGCCAATGTACATATGAAAGCGAACATTAAGTAATGAAGTAACAAGTTGCCGTATAACAAGCTAGTATCGTTTTATCGGGAACTTACTCCACTTCTTCTAGAAGTCATCGCAACAATGGGGCTCCAGGAATTGGTGTGTGGGTTGTACCTCTCCGCACTGGACAGTTCCATACAGTCGTCTCGCCCACCGACCGCGTAGATGAGGTTGTTGAAGACCGCGCAGCCCAGGTGTTTGCGCCTCGTGGACATCGCCGAGACCTGGGACCATTTATTTTGTCGGGGGTCGTATCTCTCTACGGTGTTCAATGGCGATTGGCCATCGGATCCTCCGATGGCGTACAGATATCCTCCCAAGACCGCCACAGCCACACCGAGCCTTCTCGTAGTCATCGGTGAAACCTTTGACCATTTATTCTCCTTAGGGTCGTACCTGAAGAAACGGACTCAGCCTCAGTGGAGAGGAAAAATCAATTGACAACTGCTATGTAACACTGCGGTTCACCTTTCAACGTGATTCAGACACTGAACTCCATCCTGCCCCCCGACGGCATAGAGGAATCCATCGAGCACTGCTACACCGACACTAGTTCTGCAGGAGGTAGTTGGTGCTACGTCGCAGGACCACTGATTGGTTTGGGGGTCGTACCTCTCGATACTGTTCAGATAGCTCTGCCCGTCGTGGCCTCCAACGGCATAAAGAAGATCGTTTAAAACCGCTACCCCGACTCCACATCTTCTTTTGCTCATCGGAGCCACCATTTTCCAGTCTGCTGTATTAGGATCGAACCTTTCGACACTGGCTATCGCGTCTCCGGAGCACCAACCACCCACTGCGAAGAGGACTTCCCCTCGTCTGGTGGGCTTCCTGGGTCTGGTTCGAGGACCTTGCATGAGGGGCCTTTCTTGCGGAAGCAAGAGATAGTTCTTTGCTTCGTCGACGAGGTCCCTGCAGGCATCATCGGAACGAACCAAAAGATCCGAGCCCACAGTTCCTACGAGAAACTTAGGACTCAGCAGGGGTAACCGTACGTGTTGCAGGACTTGGGCCAGATGCTGTCTTCGCTCCGTCACATTATACTTCACCCAGTTCATTACGGCGCTGAAAACTTGCTCTTCGGTCCTCACGTTCAATTCATCCGATGAAATAATATCCACCAATTGGCTAACTGGCAATAAGAGAAATTCTTCGCTCTCCATCACCTGTACGGCAGAATATTTAAAACTGTGAAATTCGTGGCACTATTGACGACTCTTATACTTTCTACTTCGATCATCAGCTATAAATGTTTTAATAATTATCATTCTAGTTGAAAAGCTGCAGGATACCATAAACAAACCTCTTGGAAATTATGCTGTGTAAATTTGTCAGCAATGCGTAGCAGTTCACGGCAGGCATGCGTATCGGCAAAGGCACGAATGCCAAGGCAGTTGGAAGGATCCAGTTGTCGCTTTAAGAATTCGCAACAGATATCCTGGATCTCTGCTAGCTGTAAAAGACAAGCTGCTGGCAGGAGGGTTTGCACGTTGGCCTCTTCGACAATGATGTGTGACGTGTAACAGAAGTCAATCAACAGTTCCATCGCCATTTCGTCGATATCTCTGATTGTCACCTCGGTCTGGCGGGATTCTGCCAGCTCACCAGTGAACATTGCTCTGTGAAGTAACAAAATATTAAGATTGTAATGAATATTTATTTTTGCTTTCACTACATGAAAAGGTTTCACATCGTTTGAACTTTTGCACTATGATTTTTCTTCTTTTGTTTTTGTTTCTGCTTTCGGTATAAGTACTTTCGTTACGACCCTACAAAATTTATTCACAATTGTAACATATAAACTAGAAATAGAAAAAGTAAGTACTTCTGTTTTATACAATCCAAAGGGCGAGATTATAGTACAAACCAAGTTTATATTACCTGAAATAAGGGCTGCACGCAGAGAGTATGACTCGGTGCGCGAATATCTTTCTACACCCGACATTGAGGACAACATCGCAGAGTTCCCGATGACGACGTAGGACATTGAGTTCGGTTAAGGTGGCACGTGGATGCTTCTCAGAGGAGTGGCTAAGACGCGCTGGCGAAGGTGGACGCTCAACCATCATCTCACCCATCCTCTGAGAGTTCTGGCCACCCACAGCAGCACTCCCTGTCCCGCCACCACGGCTGCCCCCGGCAAGATGGAGCCGCTGTGGGGGAGACGCCCAGGTCCACACCGAGTCTATCTGCAACACCATTCACCGACCACCACTTGGTCTCAAATAGCGACTGCTGCGTGCTCCAAGGATCCGTGGTCCCCTATTCTTGTGCCAAGAACGTACGGTGCGTGCTACAGCGAACGATGGATCAATCGTGAGGTTTGTACGTCTGCGGGAGCGAAGGATTTTGTGATTACAATTTCTAATTGGTATCAAACATTCCGTCGTCACATCCGAAAGCTTTAAAACATAATATAACATAGATTTCAGACATCGTAAGTACCAACATTGTGGGACCTCTGATCAAAACGTGCTCTATGCAGCGAACCTACCAGGAATTGTTTGATAATCGCAACAAGCATTGCACTCCATGCGTACTACGTTATACCTTATAGTTAACCTCGATTGAAGTGTGAAATAAATCAAATAATATCGTTCACAATGGTAGGAACATATCGTCGAGTTGTCACATTCTTTTCAGTTTGTGTTTTCGATTCACGAAACATTCTATCAAGCTACCTTTGGTGACTGATATGTAAATCTCAGCTTTACCGAAAACTGATAAGAGTTAGACAAGAGTGAGTCGTCGGGCGCGTCGAGTCTAAATCCCTAATAAGAGGAGACAGGCAGTTACCAGTTAACTAACGAGAGTAAAGCCGAGCCGTGTCGCTAACGGATGCTCACCTTTGATAATTTATTGAACCAGCAGGTGAGAAATAAGGAAAGGTTGCGATCGGTAGGCCTCGGAATCGTGGCTAGAGAGGCTGCGGATCTTGGGGCATCGAGGAAGTCTTCTGCTCGCCGAGCCCAGAAGAGACAACTCGCCAAAAGGGAGAAGCTCGCGCGAGTAAATTTTCACCCGCGAACTGTCATTTTGACAAATATTCGACACGCCCGAGTGACTCGCCCGAACAGAGCTCGGCACGGCGACGTCGACTCGCGAAAATGCCCCAGTGCTGCCAATCGTAAAAATGTATGATCCGAGATGAACAATTTCCAAGATAGTTATGCTTTCTGTTCCGCAGCTATACTGTGCGTCGCGATCGCCTCGGTTGTGCACTAAACCGATCCATACTTAGCATAGACGGGGTCCTTGTTATATCACAGATTCCAACGTTACCTACTGATTCGAGAATTTCCACGATAAATGTATTTAAATTCTCGAGAGTTTAAAATCGAGTAAAACCGTGAAAAACAGTTTAAAACCCTTTAAAATCGCAAACTCCTAGATACGTATAGAAACGCGTATCTCCTCTGAAATAAATCACAGCCACTCGCTTCATATAGCAAATACGTAATTCGGCGCATAAACCCACGTGAGATGAAAGTGCGAAAAGTGAGCGCTCTCGTCAAAAATACGTAATAAACGCCCTGTATCTGCCATCGCGATTGCGCGAGCCCCCACTAGAAATGTGTTGCGCCGCCACTGAAGGATAACAGGTGGCAAGTGCCTTAGTCATCCGCATTTTCCACCGGGGGGCAGCACAGAAGCGATCGCGTGACCCTGACCGTGAGCAGTCTCCCAACTCATCTCTGCTGCTGAACGCAAGGCATAACCGGAAGTGGCGAGCGCGCAAGTCAGGCTGTAGTTCCCGGAGCCGGAGCAGATGTCGGGGCAGGCGGGCCTGTTCCCATGATGCCCCGGTCTAATGGCGGGGCCTGGCACTCGCGGCTTACTCGGTGGTTGGTGGTCTGCCGGCGAATTCGCGGATCGCGCGATCACGCGCGAGTGGAGCGTCTGCCGACTGGCGTGTCGCCGTCGCGCTCGCCGGCGTCCGATGCGCCCGTGAAGGAGAGGCCCCCGCTGACGGACCGACCGAGCCAGAGGCGCCCGCTCCAGAGGCCGAGGCCGAGGCAGAGGCAGCCGACTCCAGAGGGACCGAGAGCGGCGGGCGGAGCGGCGGTCGCGGGCACACGGTACTCTCCGCTCGAATGCTACTCGCGGGCGGCGGGCGCCGACCGGATGGCGGAGCGCGGCTGACCCGGGCCCAGAGGCCGCGCGCCGCCGCGACCGATATGAACGACGCCGAGCTCGCGAGCGCCCCAGCTCGAGCCTAGGTAGGCGGAGGTTAGGGCGGCCGGGCCGAGACAATGAGCGCTGACAACCGTCCCCGGTCGAAGCCGCTCCTCGAACCCGAGCACGCCGAGCCCCCGGGGGACGCCAGGAAGATCAAGAAGGAACGCGCCGACGCCGAGGCCGACGAGACTGACGCCGCCCCCGCTCCCGCCCCCGCCCCAGCCCCCGCGACCGTTAACGGCGCCGACGATGCCACCCGAGATCGGAGTGCTCCCCTGGAGGTACATCGGTTTCGGAACCCCAGGCCTTCCCAGACTGGAGCCCAGGTCTCCAACGGCTTCCACGGAGGGGCCAACCTCCTGCAGGACGTCCTTTCCAGCAAGTTTGCCGGCCTCGCTCATCACGGTCCTGCTGCTAAGCACGACAAGATCAGGCTCATGATCGAGGATAGTATCGGGTGAGTGGAAGTCGGGGCAGAGATTATCGGTACTCCTCCGATTTTGGATGCGAGGACGATCTTGGAAATCTGGAAAGGCAAAATGGTAGAAGGAAGGTCTTTTCTCCCTTTCATTTCCCTGTATCGTGTATTTCATCAGATTTTATATGGATTACTCCGGAGGCAAAAAGAAAGAGCGGGTAGAGATGGTTTTATTAAATCGTGTTTCCTAGATTTATTATAATTTGGGATTTATATCAATCGGTTAACCTTTTTATACCATGTGCCCATAAGATGTTATCCTTGATCGATACGGGCACTTCCCAATGGGTACGAATGTGCATTGGATCGCAAATATTTGCAAGTTCGTCAAATTCAAGCCTGCGGCTTGTCCGAGATTAGATAATGTTCTTATTTCTGTTAAGCATTTTTCTTACACGTGTAATCGTTTTGTCATAATCTTTCTTTCGCTGGGATCGTTCTTCCTGGTGACGAGTAGACCTACAAAAGTAGATTTAGAGAGTATTACGTGATCGTAGATATCTTAATCGAATGGAATTTAAAAATATTTGTACAAAGCTGGTAAGCTTAAAAAAAAGTTCCTCTTATCAGATTGCAATATCTGTCTTGAAAAGGAATACAAGGTATATTGTCATATATATCCTTAAGAGAAATAAACATCTTGCATTATTATGGTTAGTAAATGATTTTGTTCACGGGAATGTGAAAATGAAACAGGAAAGCAAAGTAAGTAGTAAGTAAATAGTGGTCATCCTTTGTTTTAAACCAAACGATCGTTTAGAAGCATTTGTACACAAAAATATATTTACATTCTTTAAAATGTAGGGAAGAGTCCAAGTGCCGCGTTCAGGATATCTTTTCACAAGTCGAGCAACTTAAGACGGAGGAGAAGCTATTGCTGTACCTGAAGTTACCGCTGTCGCTGACCAATCCAGGAGGTAGCGTCGATCCACTGAGACTGCCATTGAATCCACTAGGCAATCGTTATGAGATCCATCAGACCATCATGTGGATCAAGACGCATCTCGAGGAGGATCCTGATGTTTCTTTACCGAAGCAGGAGGTTTACGACGAATATAAGTAAGTGTGGCTACGTCATTCCGTGACTTACAAAACTGTAATTCTTATAGCTTCGACTAGAGTGTTTTATGTTAAAGGATTTTATTTGATTCATATTGCTGCAGTCTAAAATCCTTTTGATTTTCACGGCAAACTGTTACGTACGAAATAACCAGTGAGAAATATTTTGTGCAGCATGTTTTGTATAAGGAACTCCATGAAACCTCTGTCGACGGCGGATTTTGGGAAGGTGATGAAGCAAGTCTATCCTAGAGTGAGACCTCGCAGGCTTGGTACGCGTGGAAACTCTCGTTACTGCTATGCTGGCATGCGAAAGAGAATCAAATTGGACCCCCCAACGCTACCATCGGTGACTGGCGTGCCAGCTGTAAGTTGACATTTAAGTTAACTTAAAAAGTTAGCTGTAGGTAGATAATTTGATGGTAGGAAATTAGATATCCTAGTACTAACTGTAATATAATGTCACCGATGAATATAATGTACGTAATTTTTAGGGCGACGAGGAGGAGGAGAACCTCACCGAGGAAATGTTAGGCGCAGCCTCGACATTAATTCGTGAGTGGGCTGAAAATTTGCTCAGCTTGAAATTTCCAACGCTGAGCGCCTTGGCGCGTCATCTCGTCGACAACCTTTGCGTCGATACGAGATCTCTAGCTGCTGTTTGCATCCTATGTGCTTCCGGCGAGAGCCAAGCGTCCACCGATAAAGGTTGAAAGATCCATTCCTAGGTTTCTTCGGCATCGCGGAGAACGCGTCTCCTTTGTGTTCCCTTCGTTTCATTTGCTAGAATTCTAGATAAACGTGAAAGTACAGTTTCTTTTCGCACAAATTTCATTTCTTATTGCCACCGCGGGTTTACTTATTTATGAGAAACAGATTTTTAAATTATGCCCTGGTGTAGATACTATGGCAAGTGTGTTTAAAAAAAAAAAGAAATTAAAACTTAAAATATGATTTCTTACACCAGAAATACCGGCACTCGCTGTTACACCGACACCAGTGAAATCTGGGAAGTTGAGGGAAGCGCAACTGCAGCTGCAACGTAAGCTACAACAGCGCGAACACATTCGGGATCAGAAGCATAGACACCTTGATACTGTTTTACAGGTACACGTTTGTTTACAGTATGCCTTGCAGGGAAATCGTGTAAATTGCCCAGATAACAGTCGAATAATCGGGTTCCACTAGTAGTATCGGTTAAGTAATACCTTTCCATATGGTATATATCCAAAGGGATGTAACTTAATGCGCGTGCAATATCATTGAAATTATGCAATATCGCTGTATCGAAGCAGATAATCAGGTTAAACGATAAGGCGATACTATCACGCAAATCGTATTGGAATGATTGCAGAATCAGAACAAAGAGAAGACTGTAGATAATAATAAGGGTGGAGTAGGTAGCAAGGGAGGCAAGAGGAGCAAAGCGAGTCAGTCACCGCAAGGCGCGAATCCATCCTCCGGTGGATTGGCACCGAGCAAGCAGAACCAGTCGATTCAGCCTGCCGGTCGACAGCGAAAGGTCCTGAAGCCATCGGCCTCCCAGAGCAGCGATCCAACGGTGGTCTCCCTGCAATCCAACTGTGATAGCCTATCGGTACAATCGTTCGACGAGTCTAGGAGCAACGGCGAGGCCGTGCTGGTGCTGGCGAGCGACATCACCTCCCCGAAGGCCGCAAAGTCGCGCAATCCCAGGAAACGAGGCAACCCAGCCACCGGTCAGCATCCTTCGGAGTCCAGTCCGGAGAAGCAGGCCAAGCTGGCGGAGGCTGGCAAGTCGTCGGCGACGACGTCCTCGTCGTTGGCGAAGCTCGCGTCCACCCAGCGCCCCGGGAAGGTCTCCGTGATCCTTGCCAGTAGCCTGAAGCCGGCCCGCTGCAAAGCGTCGGCCGATCGGGGCGAACCGAAGGACTGTGATATCGAGTCATCGACTCGGACCGTCGACAACAAGGCGAACGGTACTCAGGGTCTCGCGGAGGCCTCGGCCGAGGCTTCCGTCAGGGTGAAGAGCCAGGCCGGATTGGTGCAGGAGGAGGCTGCCGGGACCGAGAGGAACGAGAAACTCTGCGCCATCGATCCGGACTCCCTGGACGATTACCTGAACGGCGGGAACAACTCCCAGGAGCAGGAGGAAGAGCTGCTCCAGTATTTCCAGCAGAGCAACTCTTCCGGCTCGGACGTCGAGGCCAACATTATCGCGGAGACCGAGAGGATCTCCAGGTCGGACAAGGTCTCTCAGCTCCGGCTGATCCTTCAGCAGAACCTGAAGGCCGGGGTCGCCCACGTCCCGATGGAACTTAACTCCGGAGCGGCTGGAGCGGCTGCGCGAATCGTCAGCACCGAAAAGAGGGACCCTGCCTCGAAGCATAATCTGATACTTCCCACCCTGCTGAACCACTTGAGCCACACCAGCACTCGTAGGAGGGTCAGCTTCGAGACCAACGTTGTAGAACATATCCAAGACTCGGGCAACACGCCTAATACCGTCCCCCAGAGTCCCAACACTCGGCGCAAGATCTTCAATTTCACGCCGATCTCGCCGGGACCCCATTCCCCGATAAACGGGAGGGCCTCGAAGCCTAACTCGGCGAATGCTAGCCCTTTCGTCTCACCCAGGAACACCCCGGTCCCGAGATCCAGGAGCAACATTCAATCCAGTTCGAGGTCCAGATCCACCCAGAAAAACCTCTCCCGGTCTACATCCTGTGGAGTGCCCTACACCGCCAGGACCGAGACCTTCGTAGTGCCCACCACTGGTCCCGAATTGACCAGGCAGATGTCAGCACCGCAGTCTCCGCTGACCTGCATCAGATCCACCGAAGTACAGGCTCCTGTCGTGGCGGTTGCTCAACAAGTCACCACTCCGGTGTCCAAGGAAAGAGGAGCTCCGCAGCCTGCTTCCTTCTTACCCTCGGACTTAGCTCCGCAGAAGCAGCTGGTAATAAACTATCCGAGTCAGGAGAATTTACAGGAAATTAAGACAGCCTATCGGAAGAGCCAGCCTCTGGACCAGGAGATCAGCGAGCTTTTCCACGATGGCAAGCAGTACACCAACGAGCAGCTATACTACAGGTGCTGGATTGAGAGTTCCTTGATAGTGAAGATCTTTTAAGCCCTAGCAACCGTGGGTTAGCCATTTTGAATCATGTCAGAGGCAAGGAAAATCTCATGAAGTTACCCTCCGGTATTCTTTTACACTATTTATTTTTTCAAGTTGGTGCTAAAATAATCTATGGATGTGGTAGACGTGTCGGACGGTCCGTGTTTGTGAAGATATTGTGTCTATTTTGTGATTAATGCCCGGAATCGTTCCTGGCCTTGGCAGGTCGATTTTCGTAAATTGATATACATCGTTTCCTAACGCAAGATCCGTTAAAAAAAGACCCACTGATACGTTTTCTTGAATATCTCGTTTCTTCCAATGCTAGTTTTTGCTGGAAAATGTCATTCGCTTCGAAAAATACCGGCGGGGAATTTCAGGCGATTTTTTCGCTTCTGAGGCTGTAATTCAAGATGGCCGACTCACGGTTGCTAGAGCTTTAATAAAAACAGTAGTCGTCGTGCCGTCTGAATAAATGTTGAAGTAGTCGAATGTCAAAACAGTGGAAACGTAACATTTCGCATTCTTGCCGCAGGTCCCAGTCGGTGCCTCTTCATCGGATGGTGAACCCCAATCTAATGTCTCCAGTGTCCGCTCATCAATATCATTTGCCATCGTTCCAAAGTCAGAGCTTCGATCCATCGGCCAGCAGTTCCATAGCTCCTACTCCGGTGCCCAGTGAGTTTAATGACTTCGTCGGCCCGATCGGCCAGGCCGACAATGGGTCGACCTATCTTCTGGACGAGGTCGATCCCAACTTCATATCGGACAGCCAGCAATTCCTCATCGGAGACAAAGAGATCACTTCGGAGAACATCAGCAACCTTCTGAACATCCTCGACGAGGAGGGCACGCAGAACTTGCAAATTCTGCCCGACAACACTGGAGAGGAGGCCCTCATCGAGAGCAACCCCATCGTCCTGGAGGACCTGCCCACGTCGAATTTAAACATCCAGATCATCCAATCCAGGTCTTACCCCAACACTCCGCTGCCGCCGGCTCTGTCTTCGTACCCCCCAAATTACACCGAAGATAGCAACGGGTCCAGGTCTTACCCTTCGACGCCTCTGCACACCGTTCAACTGAGAGAGACCTATCCTGAGACCAATGAGCCGATGCTCTCCAGCCCCACGCTGAACTCTCTGAACCTCCGGAGCGAAACGGTTGCTCCAAATGGGTCCAATGGCGTCTGCAGGAACGTTTGCGCGGAACTACTCGAGACTGATTTCTTAGCTACCGATACGAATACGGAGACCGACGACCTGGACCCTTTGGGGAATTTTGATGGGCTTCAGGACCCATTGGCACCGCTCTTCAACGAGGTAACCGAACCCAATCCATAGGGCGGTATCTACCCACCCGTCATTGGAGACGATTTAGATCACTCCGACGATATTCGACCACTTTCTGAACATCTTTGATGAAGGGGGTACCGAAGAAGGAACACTCCACGTACCCTTCGGGGAACTTTGACGGACCTCAGGACCCATTGGCACTGCTCTTCTACGAGGTAACCGAACCCAATACGTAGGGAGGAATTTACCCACTCGTCCTCGGAGACGATTAGATCGCTCCGACGATATTCGATCACTTCCTGAACATCTTTGATGAAGAGGGTGCCGAAGAAGGAGCACTCCAAGGGACCCTACTGTCTTAGCTCGCCGAGCTCCTCCACTCTGAACACCTGTTTACACGTCAAGGCTCTACTCGGGCACTCCGCTGCTCTGAGGTGCTCTCTTTGTGCTTTGCAAACTATCTAGAAGACAGTTCTCAGACTCCACGCTCAACTCTTTCAACTGTCGAAGTGAAACAGTTGCAGTTAGTGGATCCAGTGGTGTACCTAGAAGATGGCTCACCCTCGGCTACTTCAGACTGATTTCTTCGCCAGGGATCCTGTCTGTAGTCAACATGCTGGGTCGTTTGCGTAGCATCAACGAAGAGAATCACACGTCAACACTGCACATCTACAAGATGACTGGACCTGGTCCGTGGATTTGGATATATTAGAAGGTAATGTCTCCGATCATCTAATTTTTACCTTCCTTGCAGTTGCGATTTCCTTTTAAATTTCAACTCCAGGGTGGGGTTGTTACGTTGTAGGAGTTGGTATTCATGCAACGCAGTGCTTAGGAATGTTAGATGGAAACAAACGAATGTGTAACCATAGGGTGGATGTTCTCGGTTGTGCTTTTTATAAAATTTCATTTAAACCTCCGTTCGGAAAGGTTAACAGCCTTATCGCTAACCTGGGGGTACGTAACGTTTTTCGTTCTTTATTACGGTCGTTCGAGACTCTTCATTGAATAATACGTAACTTCGAAAGATTTACCATCCCTTTATCGACGAACTTGTGAAACCGCGCAGTCGCCCATGTGAGACTGAATTGACGCTCGTTTATTTCCACTACGTTGGATTAGAAATCGCAACACTTTATTCCGAAATCATGCCGCACCGTTTGTTTCAATTAAACACCTCTAAGCATTTCTAACCTAAATCTAGGTTAAATAAGATCTCCTGAGATCTCCGATCAGCGTATTTGTGGCATTAAAGCGCACCTTTATTGCCACAGAAGAATTGTCCGCGTTGGTATTCAGTGCTTAATTTTACTCCCTCGAGGCGATTTCTTGTTAAAAAAAAGTATTCTTTAAAGCTGTACGCACGGCCTCTCGAAGTTTCTATCGTACGTACTTTCATGGGTGTTAAATATTTTTCCAGCACTGCCATTAGATTATTTCACCGATAATCGAGGTTGTTCGATTGAAAGGAAAGGTGTTCGTCTCGTGGATATCTTCCTCCTTGATGTTCAATTAGACGTCTTTCGGATTATCTCAAATGCCGTTGGTTGTCACACCAGGACCTCTACGTCACACTCCATATTCTTTCCGCCGTGTCACTAGTGCTACAGTGCTCCTTAATTGTCTAAACCTTCGAGAAAATTTATATGTTTATTAACAGTGATACTTTCAGGGTGTGAAAATGATAAGAGAATACGGTAACCTGTTTTATTCGCTGATACCTTGTATCGGGTCGAAGAGGTGTTTTATTCTAACTACTTGGAATGCCCAGTTTAGAGAAGTTCTTAACTCGAGTTATATACCTCAGGGTATCGGAGAGCTCAAAAGTTGACTCCGTTGTACAAATTATTTTTTAGGACCTCACTAGATGATTAGGACGTACGCAATTGTGACAAGATGTTTTCAACTCGCTGCGAAGGAAGCTTCTTTAATGTTGTTGATCGATCACACGACTCTGGAGGCACTCCTGGTGGTGATCTAGAAAACAGTTTGGTGGCTCTTTGGTATCGGGGTCCTCGATTACTCTGAGATCCATCTCGGAGACATATCAAATGTTCAAGGAAGAACGACACATAGACAATTCATTTGTTCGAAATGAAAAAAAAAAAAAAGAAGTGTACCGCTGTATTTTATATGTAGAGCCCAGAGAGTAGCATTCTAAGATGTTTAAATTGTTTACCACATTTGAGAAAGTTCTTCACATATGTCTATATATATATATATAACATGTTTTGGATATTAAAAGTTTTTAGGAATGAGAGTATATAAATCTTGAGAAATTATCTGGAAAGTGCAATTAAAATTAATTTGTTTATTATATAGTACGACTTTCGTTATTTGGTTTAGATTGATCGTTTTAGGGTAATTTTAACGTAGATGATATTTACTTTAAATATACTTTCGGGGTAATTTGAGAAATTATATCATCGGCAAATCTTACCGTAGGTCTAAATTATGTTCAAGTGTTTATGTTAACGGTACGATCTAATTATTTCGGTGCGATACGAGGGATTTCGTTCGTGCAATAAAGTTCGAATTAAGGGAATTCATTTCGAAAATGGCGAACCCATCACCGAAGAGCCACCATTCGTATTTTAAATCGCGCCTCGTCCGGTTGCGATTTCATCGATTTTATTTAAATTAACACGTACTGAAAACGGTATCATTGAAGCAAAAGGAGGGTTTTGTAGCATTCAATTAACGGGCGATCGAGTCACAATTTCTTTCCACATGCGAGCAGGCTTCTGAAGATTTTTCTTTTTTGTTTTAAATTATGAGACGAACATTGTCAAGAACATCAGTGTGGTCGTTGCATGCATTTTCTGTTCTCCCGATTCTTCTTTATTAATTAATATAACGGCGTACAATTCGAGATAAATGAAAGGCTTCCCTAATTTTGCACGAAAATAATGTACGATTCTTTTTTGAACTGACATAAACGGCAGTGACGACATCGCCGTCATGTTTCGGATCTCCGAAATACCGTTTTTTTTTTTGGTTTTAATCGGATGGGAAATTTAAGATGCAAGTATTGAAATTGTACCACAAAACACTGCCGTAGTATTAGATAAGGATTTACTCCACATTTATGCAGCGACTGCGTTGTCTTTTAGGATTCGTGAATGTGTGCAACGGCAGGTCCTTTTTCCGGTAATTGATCATCCGTGATTCCTTTATCAGCCTCACCTTTGATTTCTATTTGATACGATAAAAAGGGGTATCCTCTCCGAGAATGCGTTACATCGGTCCTTTATTGTTAAAGTGTTTATTCGAGTTTCCCAAAATTAATAGCATACAAGGGACGTGCAAAGACGGTCACTCTCTCTATCTCTCTCTCTCTCTCTCTCTCTCTTATTATTATTAGTAGCAGTAGTACTAGTAGTAGTAACCGTAGGATAAAAACCGTTCTTGTTATACACCGCTTTAATGGCGGTGGGAAGTATTACGGCTGGTGGTTTCCATTCGTCCGTAATAATTGGACAAATATTGCGTTACGAGTATTTCACGAATGCCTTATGGCGGCCCTCGTAGGCGTAGCGTTCATTGTCCGGTTGTTTTGGATGAATACAAAACTTTGGAATTGAAGACATACCACGTAAGACCCGGGTCTACAGTTGCACGCACAAAACGTATAGACGTACACTGGGAGACATCAATGCCCTCCCACCCTGCACAGGCGATGCCGTATCTGCAGGGGAGGCATTCGTGTCCGCCATTGTACATCTGTGGTTACTCCGTGTCGTTCGATTTCTCGCTGTATTAAATGGCTAATCTTAGGTACTCCATTGGCGCACTTTTGTACGAAGCAATTTTCTAGCAGGAATTGTTTTGTCGGTATTTAAAGGTATCCCGTTGCCGTAGGGTCGGTCACGCCTTTTGTTGGAGCAATAAAGGCGAGCAATGGTTTGTTAATTATCCTGCGGTTCGGACTACTTTATGACCTCTGCGCCTACCGGGGATATTAGGCCGCCATATTGGAATGAGTTTGGACCATAGACAGAGGAATATAGGAACCGAGCATAAAAAAATAAGATGGTTACTTAAACAAGGGGGACAGCCATATTACCACGTCCAAACGTGACGCGAGATTTGAATGGGTCTTTCTACCTTTTACATTGAGAGCAAAATTAAAGGAGGAAAAAAATAGTCGTTGGTCTTTTATCATTACGTTTTTTTTTTTTTAGAATGAAAAACCGTTACGAAATTTAAGAAGAACCATTTTTTTTCAACTTGCATATATGAAACAAAACGACGGGTTCATCTGGTTTTTACTTTTCAACTCCACAGGCAAATGCTTGGTCCCTATATTCCTAACGAGTTTGTCGCTCAAATGTATTTGGCTCGAAACTCTAGTTTTTTTTATGTCTATGGTCTGGACACGATCGGTGGTTTCCACTGTGGGCATACCCGGTTCGAAAGGATTATCGATCGATATGGCAAGCTCTGCCGATTCTGGGGATTTCTTGAACAGACAATACTAATCGTACATGTAATACTTTTATAAACGCTGGTCGAGCCGCAAACGGTAATTGGTTCTATAATAATCATATTATGACGATTCGTAGATTGCACTACTCGTACACTCGAGCTTGACCCTTACTCCAAAAACGGAGAAGGGAAGGGCTCCCATCACCACTTTTACTCCCTCAAGTACAGGTGTATCTTTGGTTTTCTTGTTATCAAGCTCACCTAACAATATAGGAGTATTGCATATATGATACTAATATCGCAGCTGATTTGGGAAGGGTTCCAGGTAGAGGGCGGTTTTTCATGGACGACGACGACTCCAGATCGATCTGCATCTCTTCGACGAATATCATTTCCTGTAAAGGAAGAAGGTTAACTTGATGTGGAAAAAAAACGTAGATGTATCGCAGTAATGGCTTCCTTATTGCGTTGCAGGACTCCAATAGCGAAGAAGTTGGCGGTGGAAGTGGGGCTCGTTATTGATGAGTAGCTTGTCGTCGTCTGTGGAAAACCGCCGTTAATTCTGTATAGTTGTATAATCAGGGTTTGTCGTACGGCATAGTGATATATAAATATATACAGGAATGAAATGTGAGCCCGTAGACAGAAATGTATTTTAACGGCCGGTGATTCGATCAGCGAGTTTCTATGAGTTTCTGTGACGTCGTTTCGTTGAGATTGCATGTAACGAGTTTAATAGCGTTTTCATTTGGACTACACTAAACTGCACTTGTGTAAAGTAGCATCACTAAACGTATTCAACAGTGTCAGAGTATTATGCTTAGCTTGGGAGTGCCGGGTTGATGGTGCGATTACTTTATACTCGATTTGTTAAACTTTTACCACCGTCGCAGGGAACAAGAGTAAGAAAAATACAATATGGCGGCGCCCATGGAGGACTAACGCAAGTTCGGATCGAGAGCGGCAAATGACAAGCAGAAATGAAAAAATCTTTGCGATAGTTAATGAAAACGGTCGCGTCATTGACATGAAATTTCAAAGGGGCCATTTTTTTTTCCTTTTTTTTTATATTCTTGACAAATGTAATTTTTAAAGGTTTGCTCGTTCGTCTGAGACGGTAGCACTATATCACGGTGTACCAAACTACACGAAAAATGTGTACACTCGTCCTCCACTTGTGCAACACTGGTTCAATAAAACGTAGCCCAGCTGAAAACGCTATAATTAAAATCGTGCGTTCTCTTAGATTTCGCAGAATTAATCGAAATATACTTACCGAGGGGAATTGCTCTCGGATAATTGAACACATCGAGCCGATAGATACTCGTATGGTGTTTACTCGACTCGCCGGCTAAAGATGGCGTCACGATCGGTTTAAAGTGGAAAGCGAAAGGAAAGATTTCTCGATGGCGCTTAGATTCTTTCGCGGCTTTCTGCAGTGAGGGAGAGAACCTAGAATAGGAATCGCAGACCGGTAGGAAGGTGTCCCCCTCGAAGCGTCCACTGACTCGCGGATCTGAGGTTAGGATCGCTCGAGTTTACCGGTGGCGCCGCTCGGGGGCGGGGAACAGAGTTGAAGAGTATTAGAATATCAGTCGTGTTGCATGAGGTAGATCAGCTCGTTAGATAACACTTACTAGATAATAGTTACTATATAACATGCGAGAGGTTAGAGTAGGATATTCCGATGAATTTGCAGGTAATAGGTCCGTCGTATGATATTATATTAGTGGCAGTTGTAGATCGACAGTCCTTATACGTTGACTCGGCGGTCTTTTGAAACGGCCGCCATTTTCTTCTATGGGGATTACGAGGCATCGAGAAGCTTCGCTTTCGACGCCCAGTGGATTATCGGTAAAAGAGAACTAGGCGATCGTCCGACGACATTTGTCATTACGTCGAAGAAAGTGGCGGTCGTAAACGATGACATGCTTTTGGGGTCGTGCCTTTGTTTATGACACTTAACCACGAATGTAGTAGGTCACCAGATTGGACACTTAATACCCGGAATAATGCGGATCGGAACGGCGGAACGGAACGCGAGATGTCGGGATCGGTGATCTCTGGCGCGAGTCTGGAATCATTGCGATATCTGGAAACCTTGGGTCGTGACTGGTAGAGATGTCCATCTATAAATTTCCCTAGACCGGTGAGACTTTATTATAGGGGGCGCCTGCGTTGAGCAGAGCAAAGGGAAAGCGGTCTTCCCCTTGCTCGAGCTTGCGACCTGCGCTCTGTGATTTTAAAAACCTGGCTTATGCTTCCGTCCTGACCCTGATTTAACCCTGACTACCCTGTCCACTGTAAGAAATTCATAGGGAGCGTTTATGCTTTCCTTGACTTAACCTTAGCTTTTGGCCTAAACGCTTTCTAGGAAATCCCTATAGGGAATAATTGAATTAGGGTCAGGATGGGGGAATAAACCAGGCGTAAGTACCATTCACAATCGACTTAATGCGGAGGTAGTGCGGAATTTATGCCTGATTTCTTCATGTTCTAGCAAAATGACTGAGAGCTATGTTACAGATAAAGTCTCCGGAAGATAACATTGGATCGGCTTTTTTTTTTTTCTTTTTTACAGCGTACGTGAATTTGATTTAAGATCGATTTACACACGCTGGTCCCGTCATATCTGTATAGTGGCGATTAATCGCACAAAATCACGTCTGCACTGTCGCTGCACGCTCATGTGAATGTTAATATTGCACTAACCACTACGCATCTGCACTACCCTCGTACTAACAAGGAAAGTATCCCAGGTCGATCTCTCCGATTTGATTTCTTTCATAATATGTTATAGTAGACTAAAAACTAAGCGACACGTATTTTTTTACATCTGCCATTAAACACTTTAAGGGGGTGAAACCACCATCCAAAGGGCTGTGAGGGGTGGCTCACCCCTTAATTTCTTTTTTTCCTGTTAATTGAGAAAATTATATTTTTCATTCCTCGTTGTGAGAAAGCTTATCCAGGTGGATTGGCTAAAAAATATTACGTTCTTGTGGGTGAAATTGCCAAATCGCCTCTTGACATGCCTTACTTTGGATGGTGGTTTCACCCCCTTAAAGTGTTAAATGGCGGATAAAAAAAAATACGGGTCGCTTAGTTTTTAGTCTACTGTAACATATTATAAAAGAAATGAAATCGGAGAGATCGAGCTGGGATACCTTCCTTGTAGGTCACTCATTCCGGCCCAGACGAGCCGACAGGTCGGGCACCCCTGGTCTAGGTCAACGTTGACCAATAACGTGGCACTATCTCGAATCGTTGTAATCAACGGCAGCTAATTAGGGGCGTTCACCACCAAAGTGGGAACGATGACTTCCACCGCTAGATGGCATTAGCATCGAACTCGGTGGGAGGTAACCAAAACGTAGTTTCTCGCTCGGATGAGGGAGACGCGACGCATAATGGGCGGTATTTAGCAACGGGCGAAAAATGTGTGCGTATTTTGCACGTATAGGACTCACACAGCGGCTAGACGCCTCTGGACTAGGCGTCGAAACGTGGGTGACCCCCGGCCGCCCGCACACGCCAGTTGGACGCTCCGCCTAGAGTCGGCAACGGTTGCCAAGGAATGCCCAAATTCCTCGCGAGAAACTCGAAAATCCTGAAAAAGGTGCTCCACGGGGACAACGATTTTGAGCGTATTTCTCAACCGATCGAGCTCAACGAGTGCTCGTTTTAAAGATAAAATGTTGACGTGTGTTTATATGGGAGCGATTTTCGATCGAGCACCTCCTTCCTAGGTAAAAGGGCATTGAAATTATGTCGTTGCACTTTTTTATATGAAAATGACCACTTATCGAAAATCGCTCCCATATAAACACAGGTCAACATTTCATCTTCGATATGAGCACTCGTTGAGCTCGATCGATTTAGAAATACGTTCGGAATCGTTGTCCCCGCGAGGCCCTGCAAAATCGCTGGAGTGGTGAGCGCCCTTAAGGGCGGGACTCGTCCTCTCGGGGACGTCGCCATTTTTCATTCGACTTGCGAGTAATCGCTGTCGCGAGATCGCAGATACCATTCGATAGTTTAGTATTAGCGATCGACCAATCGCAGCCGCCTTTTGAAGCTTGTCAAGAGACCGTTGTACGGGCGATTCGTCGAGTTTCGTCCGTTCCCGAATTCCACGGAGTGTGTCCATTCCCCGCTGGATGTGTCGCGAGTTATGATTCTTGCATAGGTGTCCTCACAGTTTTCGTTATCCCACCGGTTACCATTGTTACGTCCGCCATGTGAAATTACGATATGCGCAGGCGATTGGTTACTTCCGATGTAATGCAGGACGCGTCATTGGGCATTCTAGTTGAATCCGACCAATCAGCGTGGACGAGAATTCAATATGGCTCCCGCGTCGGTACCGACTGTAAAATTCTCACCATCGAATCGCGAAACTACCGGTCGCTCGCGACCGCTCAGCTACGGCTAGAGAGCCGAAGATATTTGGAGGTTAAACGGGGACAGTCGATGCGAACGTTCGGTTATTGAATCGATCGACTTCTTCGACGCTAGGTTAGGACACGTCGAGCTCGACGATAATAGTATGGCTGTGTTACGTGTGTCTGCGCGTGGCGAGTGAATGGGGAAAATGGATTTGTTACTGTGACGCTTACTCCGCGCGCAACTTCAATATGGTTACCGCCGTGACGTCACGTAGGTGTACTTAGATTTGAAAATTGTCGGCACTTTTTAAACTTTTTAGGCGTACTTGAGAGACCGCAGGAGGTCTTTTCGAAAAACTCGTCCGGGAGAAAAAGAAAAATATCTTCGGAGCTAAAGGAAGTGAATTCTAGGATTGAAAGAGGTTAGAGACGCCCGGTAGTTATTGAAGTAGCGTGCAGTGATTCGATTGGAGCCGGAGACGCGTCACGTGGTACTCGCCGACGAATCCTGGGAGAGTAACGCTCGTAGAGGTACTACGATTGGTTGGTGCTGGTCACGTGACCGCTGTGGCTCTCTTTAGGGATTAGCCTAAGCTCCGGGTAAGGTTAAGTTTATATTTCCTCCAAGGAATTAGCAGAGGTGACCGGGGAGGTGTTTCGCGCCCCCGTTTGAAAGGGAGGCACGGACCACTGGCGCCCTCTACGCCCTTTACCTCTCTGTAAAAATTGGAACTAATTTCAAAGGAGTGAAATCTTCGTGATTCCAACCTACGTTGACCCTGATACTGAAAACGAAAAGGCGATAACTTCATCCTATCGGTGCTGTGCTGCTCTTGCAATCTGCAGTCGCGTTTTTCATTACCGATAGAGAACTATTCGCCCCTTTGAAAGCAGTTTCACGACCCTAGTGAGTGGCGCTTTACCTTCGACAATGGCGTGAAAGATCTCCCCGCTCGTCTCTGGAATTAGTTACGACCCCGCTCTATACCTATCCTTTTTTTTTTCCTGTCTCCTAATTTGTCCGTTTTCTAGGAATTAAATCGCCACCTAATCCATAAGTTTTCAATTTAGCCACTATGATGATCATTACTATACATTTTTACCGTTATCACTCTTGTATCGATGATTTAGTAAACTGTGATATTTGCGTGAGTGCTTACACACACACGCGCGCGCGCGCGCAACACACACACACACATTATACACGACACATACCACACATATATGTATGTATATATACACTCACCTGCCTCTGCCTTCTACCCGTTCTCCATTGGTCCGTAGTAGGTTCCAGAAGTCGCCGGAGTCGCCATGTTGGAATTCGTTTGGTAAAGGCGATTGGTCGTTTCCGATGTAGCGTAGAGTGCCATTGGTTGGCCCGACGGAAACAGCTAGTCGTCGACGTCCAACTTGATTCGAAATGGCGGATTTAGTAACTTTGGCTTGTAATTCGATGTATTCTTTTTGGGATCCTCTGATATACGCAGGAAAGCGTAATCTAAAGGATACACTGTCTGTTAATTGATACAATTTTCGTAAGTCTCAGGATGTCGAAAATAGATTCCGCATGGATACGTGAAGTAACGTCGAGCTTAATAAAGTTTTTTATATATACCGAGTACGCTTCGTCCAAATTTTAATGTATTTATAAAAGGAAGAAAGACAAAAAAAGCTACGGGCAAATGAAGAGATGTTGAACGTCTGTACAATGTTCAGAAATGGAAATTTTCGTGTCTTTGGAGGGTGTTTTGCATCGACGCGCATAAAAGATGTTTCGAAAGGAAAACGTACCTTCTGAGAAATCTGCTAATTGGAACATTTGAAGCCGAAGTATGTTCTTCTCCTTTAGGGATTCAGCTTTTAACGTGCATGTATATATGTATCTTTTTAATACGTATATCAGGGAATCGAAAAAGAAATGTCTTGCGCAATTTTCACCTCTTTTTTTTTTTTTTTTGTCGAGTACGCGATTCGTACGCGCGCATTGTATGCTCACGGCGTGAGCGCATGCGCAACCGTAAACATTTCGTGGCACGTCGTAATGGCGGCAAGTTTGAACTTTCCTTTCCTCGAAAGACGAGCCCCCTTATGAAATTCCCGACTCGGAGCCTTTTTCTACGAAGCGCCCCAATTTTAAAGCGAATCTGACGAAAAGTCGTTTCTTTTTCCTTCGTTTCAACAGCCAGGAATGCCAGTATTGGTACACGTTTAAAGATCATTTTCGAAGTCCGTTAATTCGATACGCGGAAAGATTCGCCGAGGGCTAATTAGAAGTGTAGTTCGCATTAATTGAAAATATTTTTAAAATGGAACAAAAATTATTTCCGGTATTTAAAGGTATTAGAAGGAATGACTTTAGGCTTAAAAATGTTCTAAAAAGAAACCCTTTTTGATGTTAATTCGTCCTCAGGAACGTGCGCTTTTTCAGTTCGAAAAGGTTCCGAAAGAGTAGATAGTTTGCACAAGAAAAAAAAAAAGTGTGTAATAGATTTCTACACGTAATTACGATTACGATTGAATAATTCGTACACCGTAGCGAGAAAAAGTTAGGTAGGAAATATACAAAATATAAAATATATAAATATATAAATATATATATAATTTTGTATAATTTATAATTACTGTATAATGATAAACAAAATGTTAACATTGTATGGCCTAAAACGGTGTATACCTTCATTTTAGCACCTTGTCCGAATTAAAGGAAGAAAAGGAAAATTGTACACGTGTTAGGAATTGTTTAGTGGCTCTTTAAAGATCCGTCGAAATTTTTATGAAGTTGTAAGAGAAAAAAGATTCTTCACTATTTACAGGTCAAGGTGAGTGAAACTGAACATTGTGAGATACTTGTTATATAAAACTTTATGTTATCTGGACATTTAAGCATTGGCATACTCACCTTGTCAGTACATCATAATTGATATAACGGAACGAAAGATAGAAGTAGGCATTCCCTTTACAGCAGTCTAGATTCTTTATTATATCATTATACAGACGATTGGCTCGAAGAATCCGAGATTGGGGAGGCATATTGTTAAGACCGTGTCTTGTCCTTTTAGACGCGTTATCGAGGAAACGTGAAATTTGGAGATTCTCGAGTGTTCCTTCATAACAGAAATGCCTCGTGATTAATTCCAACGTTCTTATTATGACAGAGAGTAAAACAAGGCGTCTCATTGAACCTACTTCGAGAAGTGTGGTCAAGTCTTACTCGGGGAGTCTACTCGAGATTTAACGACAGGATGCCTAGTAAACGGTAAGTCCTTTAAATCTAAAACATTTTCTTGCAGTTAACTCTTGATTTATCTCAGTACTTTGTCAGACAGTTACGTCGGCTTCTCAATAGAGTTGCCGGAAATTAGCGATGAATGCAAGTGGTCGATGCAAATTCTCTTAGGGCTTCTCCGGTCGACTGCCGTCGTTGCTCTCGATGTTTTTCTCATCATTGTCTGGAAAAATTTCATTTCATCCAGCAAACCCCATTTCGATCAAGGAAGTCCCACAGGACCGATCGAGTCGCAACATGAAAGCCATCCCTTTGCTTCGATCCCTTGGATGTTCTTCGCTTTCGATCGCAAAAAAATCTCGTTTACTCAAGGTTCCACTTAATTTTCAATTCCTTGTTATTTAAACATTTTCTGTAAATACAATTTGGACTTGTAAAGCATCTGCAAGAAATCCTCGAAAGGAAAACTCATCGCGTTAACTGAACGTTACCGATTATGCAGCTAAATAGCCAAGCGTTTCAGATCGTGGTACTCTTTCCTCGTTTGTTTTCACAAAAATTCCATTTCGCTGAGTTAATCGTCAGTTTGTATGATTTCCTGACACCGGCTAAAGCAGTCTATAGGTTAAACTACTTTCGAGGAGTTCTGCTTGGGAAACTTCGTTCTTTACTTCGGATCAAAGGAGGTGCGATGAAATTTTTCGAGGGATCTCTAGTGCTGTCAATTAAGAGTAAGCACGTCAAATGCTCCTATCGATCCGTTTGAAATTCTGGAAGACTCGACGGTTTTCCGTGCGTTTTAAGGTTTTGCTCTATTTATCGTTACTTTTGTCTCTTTTTCGGAAGGAAATAAACGAACGAGGCGAAGCGATTTCAAGGGATGGTTAAGTGTCGCCACAGGCTGCTTCCTGATGAATCGATTATGTCATGACATTCTTTGGAACTTCCAGAATCGGTCTCTTACTGGTCAAGTTCTCTGGCTTGGTTTTCTTGCCGTTAACGATCGCCTTCACGTCCTCCAGGTCCAGAGTCTCGTACTTCAGCAGAGCATCCGCCATTTGTTTATGCTCCTTTGCGTGATTTTTCAAGATCGTTTTCGCACGATCGTACGACTCCTTAAAGTTAAAGTAGATTCATTTTTAAATGAGGTTTTTCAATGTCTCTTGACTTTTCACCGGTGTGCATTTCTGATCGACTTACCTGCAGAAGACGTTTCACTTCGCTGTCAATGAGTTCACTCATGCCAGGACTGACGTCGCTACCATTATTAACAGAATAAGAGCTGTTCGGATCCTTGTGAGCCCTGAAACCAACTTTTTCCGACATTCCGTACTTCTTTACCATTCCTTCTGCTATTTCGGTGGCTCTCTGCGAAACAGAAATTCAATTCATTTAATTGGACGCATTTTGTCTTCTCGAAATGATTTTTTAAAAAACACATCCACTAATAGAAGTTTAATGAAACGTTGGTTTACTTCAAAAGCATACCTCAAAGTCGTTGTAAGCACCAGTGGTGACTTTATCGGGACCAAATATTAGTTCCTCAGCTGCTCGTCCACCCATTGCCGTATCCATCATTGCCAACAATTGCGATTTTGTCGTATGATAGACATCCTTTTCAGGCAGGAATGACGTCTACAATAAAAGTAAAACTCAAACAATAAAATAATGAAATGCTTTCATGATACTCTCAATAATATTGGGTAGATTAATCTTACACGTCCAAGAGAGTGGCCTCGTGGTACGATGGTCACTTTATGTATCGGCGTTGAATCCTTGGTGAAGTAAGCTACGAGGGCATGGCCGCTTTCGTGATAAGCTGTAATTCGATTGACCTCTTCGTCCTGCATCCTCTTTTTACCTTCAGGTCCCAAGAGAACCTTGTCCCTGGCTCTTTCCAAAAATTCCATCGTAACTGATTCCGCACCATCCAAAGCAGCCTTCACCGCAGCTTGATTGATCTAATAAAATACGCTCCATTAATAGATGTACTTTAAACATTGATGTTATCTCTACTTTCGGATTCATAGTCCAAAAGTTCCAGTAGAAGCTACCAAGTGTGTACCATATTCTCAAGATCTGCGCCAGTGAATCCGGTGGTGCACCTGGCAAGGTAATCTACATCTACATTATGTGTCAGGACTCGACTCAAGTACAGGTCAAGAATCTCCTTGCGACCATTGTAGTCTGGTGGATTAACAACGATCTCAACATCGAAGCGACCAGGCCTCATGAGAGCTCTGTCTAAATCTTCCCTTCTGTTGGTAGCTCCCAAAACTATTACGCCTTCATTCTGGTGAAATCTAAAATGTAGAAAGTCAAGGCAAGATTGTCACCAAAAGAAAAAAGAAATTAATACATGTATAATAAACGTAGTCAGGGTTAAAACAAATTCGTTTACGATTGTACCGCGAATATATTATGAAAATGTTGTTTCAGCTTACCCATCCATTTCAGAAAGTAATTGATTGATTGTCTGGTTTGCGTATGGATGGAGAACCGAAGTAGTCCTCTTTGCACCAACTGAATCTATCTCATCGATAAACACTACGCATGGTGCACGTTCCTTAGCAGTCTCTGAAATGATTATTCAGTTTAAGTGAAACCTTGAATAATGAAATTTGTGTCCGATTAATAACAAAGATTATGACTTACTAAAAAGATCTCTAACTCTTCTGGCCCCTTGACCAACTAAAATTTCATCAAACTCAGGACCCGCCGCATGGAAAAATGGCACTCCGGCTTCTCCTGCAACAGCGCGTGCTAGCAGAGTCTTTCCAGTTCCTGGTGGACCAACAAGCAATACTCCTTTCGGTAACTTCCCACCGAGTGCTGAAAACTTGTCGGGATTCTTCAAGAATTCTACAACATCGCGTAACTCTTGCTTGGCCTCGTCAACCTGGATAATTAGTGGAAACGAGTTCAATTATTCGATAGATCGTAATGCCCTTTACATCATAATAATCTTATTTTCATATTCACTCCTATACATTTGTTTTTACAAAAGTAATTGGAAATTACTTACGCCTTTAACATCGTTGAAAGTCACATGAATATCTTCAGGATCTACTTCATTATGATTGCCTATTGAGATCCGGAAAAAACTGCCTGCAGTACCTGCTAGAAATAAATCATTGCATGATGCTTTATACTTTAGTCGTCTTCTTTCTAACTTAGTTTTTAAACATATACCAATTTATTATTTGAGATTAAATAGAGCATCTCTGTTCTAAAAATTTCATAAAAATACACTAAATTGAAGGTGTTGTGGTATGAGAATGACAATGTACCCCTACGCGGTACTGCATTAAGTAAGAGGATATTTATACACTTTCAAGTATGTTTATAAATATGTACTGCATATGTTTATAAAGATATTTTTGAGACCAAGATATAGGTTCACGGTGACCAAGAGGTGGGTAAAAATGAGCTGATTTGAAAATTGAGAAACTGCTTCACTTACCCGTCATAATAAGTACTATGGAACACACAAGACCTATCATTATTCCGTAGTTGATTCCTTTAAGGGCTCTAATGAAAATATTCTTGGATTTTCCTCCATATCCAGCCAAATATCCTTCTGCAAAAGCCACTTTAACTCTTTGTTGTTCTTCTGCAGGTAGTTCGGCATCGTTCAGCATATTTCGGACCTTTTCTAATTCAGGATAATCCTTTGCTTTGTCCTACAAGGATAAAAATGAAGAATAATGGAAGTTTTTATCGTTTTCAAAAATATTTTAAAATGCATCTGGACCAGATATCATTAATAATGAACATATAAATATTTTATTAGTAGATACCTGAGATGGGACTCCAATCCATTTTCGAAATTTTGTCCCAAATGGAGGATTCCTTTCTACTTCAGAGATTAAAGTGCGTTTTGTTTTGAAGTGGCGCACTTGGAAGTCATGTCCAAAGGATGTTGCAAAGCAGACTCTATGAAATAGTCTATGTTGATGTTGTTTCAAAGAGATGTATATCGCAGGTAAGATTATTGGTTCGGAAAGATGAGAGCACGGGAAGTGTCGTTTGTTTTCGGCAAAGCTAGAGTGTGAGACATAAGATGTTCTTTGCCGGAGATTACTGTCAGCAACCTTTAACGAGTTGCCCTTAGAAACCTGTTCTAAGATCTCCCATATGTCACCCCTCTTAAGCCGAAGAGGTGCAGCCAAATGCTGTAGGGTTAAGTTTTCCATCGACATTTCGGTACAGTTTTTGGCTGTCTGTGAATAGAATAAGATAAAAAAATTAAGAAACCGTGAGAAAAATAGATTTTCATTTTTTTTCTAATTCATATACCTCTTGGAAACTATCTGCGCAGACAACATCTTTAGTTTTTTTATCGGACTCATTGCGTCTTTTTAATCTTGCGCCAAATGGCGATGGTCTAGGTGTAACGGTTGACGTAAGCTGTGTCAAGTGATACAACACCTGGAAGTAATAACACGGATCTTTTACAATCTTAGGTAAAGGATCTACAGCACTTTAGGTGCTACAAGGGATTTATCCACTAGAATTTTTAATTAATCAACAGTACAGACACGAAAGAAAGAAGCCTGGGTATCGAATGTAACCCAATTGTATGAACTATTGCGAATATATGGACGAGCTCTTCATTGAGTATATCAATTCGAATCAACAGTTTGTAGATAGGAAAAAATATTAAAAGCAATCGATCAAAGTCAAGATAATAAAGGCAACATAGAGTGAAAGATCGATGCCACGAGTTGCCTTTTGCTGAAACTTCTTGATCCGACTTGACAGTATATGAAAACAAAAGAAGACATTGAATGGTTAAAAATAGTTAAGAATAGTTAGGAAGACACACGAGGCTGACGATATGTTGCGAAAACGTGTTGGCTTCGGTCTATTGACGCACCTGATTCTGCGATTGCAGGGAAATCATTTGTGGAAGTTGTCGAGTCCGATTTGCACGCAGATAGGTTGACTCTTGGTGGAGACAATAATGCCGAAAAGGTGGACGGCACCTTCGCGGTCGCGGTCGCTGGGCGGTCAAACCAGATAGGATTTCATGACATTGAGGTTCCTGAACGCGCTGAGGTTGTCTACATCACGTAGACATCTCGCAGAGGCAATTCGCAATGCACCGCGCTGGTTACATTGAAAATCGCTCGTATCGAATGTGTTCCAAAATCACCCTGGCCACCTCGAAAGAAACGGCTCTAACGGAAAGGTTAAATCCCATTGGAGGAGACTTCAGAACCGGGTGAGCCCTGATTGGCTCCGAAAAGTAGTGAATATAATTATAGAAATAGCCTACGGTGGCGCTGCTAAAAGAGAATATATCAATTAAATTGTAGACTGTTTATCTTTTTCTCTATCAGAGATGAGTTGGGAGATTGCTTACGGGCAGGATCGTGCGATTGTGGCGGGCCCGGGACGAAGTCCGGCCATCGACACCAGAGGCGTCGCGCGCATCGAGCGCGATGCGTTCAGGACGGGGCAAACTGCGTTACCCCGCGCACATTACTTTACTTCGAACCAAAAGACGACTACGACTTAAAATGTTTGAGAAACGATTGAAAATCAAGAAGAAGGCTTTGTGATCAATTCTAGAGCGCACGTGGAAATCCGCTCCTTTTTCTGTGATAATAAAGCAATAACTATAAATAAAGTGGTAAAATATATTTGACAATCCCCACACGATCGCATCCTGTGCTGCCCTCTGGTTTCGTACGTCCTGCCCGTGAGCAATCTCCTAACTCATCTCTGCTTTTTATCTTTTTCTCTATTGCCGCTCACGTGATAAGCACGTTTTATTGTACGTTTCGGGTCGTTTCTAGAAGCCGCAGACGACGCTCATTTGTGGTTGAAAACTGATTCTTTTTGACATGTGATTAATTTAAATAAAAGTATAATTTAACGGTAATATCTCTGTGACGATAATTAATTCGTCTTTAAGAGAATGTAAGTAACAGAATGAAGTACGGTGAGATCAAATCACCAATTAGATTACGGATAATCGAAGAATGTATTGTAACCTCAACACCGGTATTCACGCGGTCTTGGAGTGGTTTATAAAGTAGTCAGGTTACTGTTATTTTAACGATGAATGTTATCATTTTCTTGTTGCGTTATATTGCTGAGGGAAAATAGATATCATTGTGTGATTTGGACAGAGAACTAGTTAATACAGATATTTATGTGTTATATTGTGTGTTCATTATTGCATCATTTATATATACTGGGAGCACAAGTTAGCTTTAAATTGGAGGTATTTCACATTGCAGGAGAACAAAAGCTTTACATATTGCATATACTTAAGTTCAATTCGTTGAATCGAAGTGCTGTTACGGTAGACTCTCGATTCTCCGAATTAAAATTGCAATTCATTGAACTATGCAATTTCTAGTTGATAGTTTCTTTTTAAAAGAAAGAGGGAAAATATATTGATTTCTGGCTTTTAGAATCAGAGTGCCGTAATATCACGTCGATTCATTTCAGATATTGACTTACGATTCAGCAAGTGGCAGTAATTACGCGAAAGATGCTACACCGCATAAGCCCCATTAAGGGGTCTCTCTCAAGAGACTCATGGTCCATTCTACGGGGATCGTCAAGAATCATTACAACTTTTCCTTCATTGAAGAAAAGGGTCCCTGAAATTTCACCGAAAGAGCATCAGCATGGGAAATTCTTAAAAAGTGAAGTGATGCATGGTTTTGTAGTGACTAGAGTGGACACCGTTAAAGAGATGTTCCTGACAGCGGTTCAACTAGTACACGTTGCTACAGGTGCACCATATTTGCACCTTCATCGTGACGATGGCAATAATGTGTTCTCAATTGGGTTTCGCACGACTCCAATGGATTCGACTGGTTTGCCACATATTTTAGAACACACAACTTTATGTGGTAGTCAGCGGTTTCCTTGTCGAGATCCTTTCTTTAAAATGTTGCATCGTTCTCTGGCAACATTCATGAATGCAATGACTGGGCCAGATTACACTATCTACCCATTCTCCACACAGAATTTAAAAGACTTCCGAAACCTTCAGTCGGTCTATCTGGATTCAGTCTTCAAGCCTAATTTGAGAGAGCTGGACTTTCGTCAAGAGGGATGGCGTCTTGAACACAGTGACGTTTCCGACAAGTCTTCTCCAATAATCTTCAAGGGCGTTGTCTTTAATGAAATGAAGGGCGTCTTCAATGAAAACCAGTCTATATTTGCCCAACGTTTACTGAACTCTATTTTACCAAGCCATACTTATGGAGTCATCTCCGGTGGTGATCCTTTAGAGATCCCTAAGTTGACTCACACTGACTTAGTGAACTTCCATTCAAAATATTACCACCCTTCTAATTCCAGATTCTACTCCTATGGGAATTTCCCATTGGAAGATCACTTGGAATTCCTTGATAAGGAATATCTGTCCACGGCAGGTAGAATAAACCCCTCAATGTCGAAAGTACCATCTGAGGAACGGTGGAAACAACCTAGACGAGAACACATTTCCTGCAAAAATGATCCGATGATAGCAGATCCTAGTCGGCAGAGTACAATTGGAATTGCCAATCTGTGTAATGACATCACGAATGTTCAGATTACCTTCGAACTGTATATAATTTCCCAGTTACTATTGAAGGGGCCGAATTCAGCATTTTATAAGAGTCTTGTGGAATCCAATCTGGGGACTGGATTTGGACCAGTAACAGGGTTCGATGCCCAAACTCGAGATACAATGTTTGTTGTCAGTCTTCAAGGAGTTCGTAGCGATGATTTTGATAAGATCCTCAATGTCTATGAGAATACTTTACAAAAGGTTATTGTTGAAGGGTTTGCGCAGGACCACCTAGAAGCTGTGCTTCACAATATTGAGCTTCAGGTAAAGCACCAGTCGTCGAACTTCGGATTACATTTGTTATTCAATCTGACTCCTTTGTGGAACCACGAAGGTAGTGTAGTTCAGTCGATGAGGATCAGTGAAGCTGTTCAAAATCTCCGGTGGAAGCTAAGAGCTGATCCTAACTACCTGCAAAGCCTCACCGAAAAATATCTATTGAAGAATCCTCATCGCCTCACACTAACGATGTCTGCAGACGAGACTTATGAGACTAATGTAGCTGCTGCAGAAGAGGCTTTATTAAAACAGAAACTGACTTCCCTTTCTGAGACAGAACTGGATTCTGTTTTTGAACAGGGTCAGATTCTACTGGCAGAGCAGCAAAAGAAGGAGGATGTTGGAGTACTTCCAACACTAAAAATCGAGGACTTGAAGAAAGACATCGAGAGGTTCCACTTAGACAATATCGACATCTCCGGAGTTCCTCTACAGTACACCATTCAACCAACTAATGGCATCTGTTATTATAGAGCGATTTTGAACACTAAAAATCTCTCGGAAGAAGAGAAGGATCTTCTTCCTCTCTTCAATGCAGTAGTTGTGAAGATGGGAACGAAAAATTTCGACTATAGGACTTTTGATAGGATGGTCGAGCTGAAGACTGGAGGGCTTTATCTGTCTAGCCATCTTGCTGAAAACAAGAGCAACATCAATAGCTTCGAGGAAGGGATTTTCCTGCATTCCTTCTGTTTGGAACGAAACATGGAGGGCATGTGGGATCTTTGGAAGGAATTATTGAATCATCCTAACCTTACCGATATCCAACGATTTGAAACCTTGGTAAAGATCACTGCTGCAAACCTGGCGAATGGGATCGCTGACTCTGGACATAGTTATGCGATAAGCAGTGCAGCTTCCTTGATCTCTCCCATTGCGAAGCTTCGAGAAAACCAGTCAGGGCTTCGTTTCGTTGGCAGAATGAAGAAACTAGCAGCAAGCAAAGACCTTGACACGGTCTTGAAAATGCTACAGGGGATCTCGGAGACTGTTTTCCAGAAGGATCACATGAGATCTATGATCAATATTTCGAACAGAGACAGAAAAAGGACAGTGGAAAGTCTTCAGAGCTTCTATAAGAATTTACAGGGAGAGTCAAAGGAGCCCTTCGTTCTCACCGAACAGAACTTTGAGCCAACGGAAACCAGTGTGCACCATGTTCTGCCTTTTACCGTGAATTATACTTCAAAGGCAATCTCCACCGTTCCTTATAAAGATCCTGATTATGCCGCACTGAATGTGCTATCTAAATTACTGACATCGGCTTACCTTCACCCAGAAGTTAGAGAGAAAGGTGGAGCTTACTCTGGCGGAGCAAAATTGTCTTTAGATGGCATATTTTCATTTTATTCCTATCGCGACCCTAATTTTAGTCGCACTCTGGATATCTTTGATGGTGCCTATGACTTTCTTCAGAAGAAGACCTTTAGCGAAAGGGACATCGACGAGGCAAAGCTGTCTTTATTCCAGCGTCTCGATGCTCCTACACCACCTGGCAATCGAGGGCTGGCTAACTTTGCATATAATCTCACGTATGACGAGATACAAGAACAAAGGCTTAGGGCGAAAAATGTCACCGAACAGGATATCATGCACGTTGCTGAGAAATATTTGAAGCCTGGTGCGGAAGGTGTGAAAGTGGGTCGTTCTTTAATCGGTCCTGATAACACCGATGTGACAAATAGGACTTCAGAAAATTGGATCGTCTTTGATCAAGAGGAAGAGACTCAAGCGCAAGCTGTTGAGTGATGTGAACCTGTACCTAGAAACAGTCCTTAATTTTAGTGCAAGTTTGAAAACGTTATGAAATTAACTTTGTGCGTAAAGTTTGTTTAAATCGAGATTGTTTTCACTGAAGTATGTACATTTTATAAAAAAGTAATCATAGTTGCCTCAGCATAAGACGTCTTCGATGCAAAGTATTCTAAGCGTTTGCAGTTTAGCTGCGAATGCAGGAGAAATAGAGGTATCATGTAAATGATGTAAAAGACATTAAGCGTTATTGTAAGCGTATTCTTTTAAACAAATTTAATCATTTCCATTTCGCAATCGCTGAGAAGAGAGCAGCTCAGTGCTCGTATACCAAATTTGACGACGAGAATGAATAAAAATTGTAATTAATTCTAAGAGAAACGGCACCATTTCTTCGGACAAATTTCCTATATAATTTATAAACATTGGATGAAAAGTCCCCCAGGAAATTGTTTTTCTGAAATTCAGATGACTCGCCGAAGGGAAACCGCCGAGCGTAAGTACTTTCTCGGCTCGTTGAAGCTTTTTTCGGAAAGTCGGTGGCTCTACGAGGATCCAGTTACCAAATTACTTCTTCGCGGTCATCTGGACAACTTTCCGGAAGGATGGCTGGAAGCCCTGAAAGACTTAGATTGCCGTGAGCTAAACGAATTTGTCGTCAAAAAGACGACGAAGGTCGGTACCACGGATTCTGTCGAGTTCAACATTTATCGTGAAAACCTATCGATTCATTTTTCTTCTTGCAGGAATTCTGGCCGAAATCGCTAAATGACTTTGTTGAAGCCTGCAGTGACGTCGACAAGTTGAACTACAAAAAGTCAAGTCTAGAATTAAATATCGAATTGTCAAAGCAATGCTTCAGGGGTTTGAGTCCGAAGAAATGGCACGAAATTTGTCACTTGACGCAATTGGTACACGAACAATGCTCCTTACAGGGCATCGATGTGATCGTCGATCTTGGAGCAGGATTGGTAAACAATTGTGACGATGATTTCTCTTTTCGTGATTAAAAGAAGAACTGGTACACGGGAATTATTTTTATGTTCTAGATAAGGTAATAAATACGGACATTGCGAACAATACCTGGGCATAAGGACAGGGCAATGTGCACAATGTCCGATTTATCACGTTGTCCATACCATACATATTAAAAAAAAAAAAAAATACCTGTCTCGAGAAAACAAACATTCTTAACAAGTTAAGGGGATGTTAAAGTGGCGTCTAAAGAGTTCGCGAAACTTTTCTCCGAACTGAGTGTGCTGAATCGTTTCAAACTATAACATGAATGTGGAGACCATAAAGCAGGTCCTGATACTGATGAAATATCATTTTTCATAACAAATCTTTTCGACACCCATGAATAAATTTCATTAGTTTCAAGACCTTCCTTATACCCTCCGTATTTATATTGTAAAGTTAGGATCGATTCGGTACACCATATTTGGAGAAAAGTTTCACGAACAAGAACTCTTTGACGCCACTTTCACATCACCTTAAATTAGATAAATAATCGACTCTCGTTTGCACTTTAGGGGTACATCTGCCAATTACTACACGAATTATACGGTTACCGGGTCCTGGGCTTAGAAGCAAGCCCAAGGAACACCGAAAGTGCAAAGGGCAGGCAAGAGAAATACCACCCTTTATCGAGAAATGCTGTGAAATTTGTTTGCTGCAAGGTAAACGAGAACTCCATCGAGATAATAGAATCTTTACTGCGGGAGCATTTTGAAGAATGTCAGAATGTCGGTTTAATCGGTCTTCACGCCTGCGGAGATCTTAGCGTCGACGCCTTAAAAGCGTTCTCCAAAATGGCGGCGGCGCGCCTCTTAGTTCTAATGTCTTGTTGCTACCATAAAATGGCCCCCGCGGAAACGGGGGAATTCTTTTGCCACTTCCCGCTCTCCGTGGAGCTTCGAGAGGCTTTAGAGGAATTCGGGAAAAGTGGTGGGATGTTTTTGGAGAGGCCATTTTTGAGATTAGCTTGTCAGGAATCGGCTGAGAGGTGGAACGACGCTTCCGAAGAATTGCACCGTAAACATGGCTTTCACGTTCTTGCCAGAGCCGTCCTCGAATTGTATGCCCATAAAGGTGAGTCGAAAGTATATCTAAGCTCCACGACTGTATATTTCAGGAAAGGAAATTCCCTTTCTCTTAATCAATCTACTGCGCAATCAATTTCAATCGTTTTTTATCAATCCAAGTGAGGGGTCTTTTCTTCCAGAAGGATTTCGGTTGGAGAAACGAGTTCAAAAGGGGACGAGGAAAAGTCAGTGCGCGGACTTCGAAACATATCTTCTGGATTCCTTAAAACGATACAGATTTAAGCAATTTACTGGGGATATCGAACAGGTAGCGGAAGGTACGGTTTTTGTTGCCACGAAAAAAAAAAAAAGAAGCGCTTTACGAGGAAACATCTCGCCGTTTTCATACGCACACATCCGCAAACTTTTAGGAGCTGCATTTAAGGAAAGAGTAAAAGTGGACGGGAAATCCCTATGGGACAAGAATTCGGAGAAAATCGAAGCTGCCGAAGCGTACACGGCCCTACAGATGCACCTGCAGAGCCCAGCGGAATCGTTAATTTTAATGGACCGAATCTGTTGGTTAAACGAGCAAGGTTTCCAAGCGGAATTAATTCCAGTAACTGACAGAAAATTGTCCCCTCGATCGCACGCGATCGTTTCGAGGAAACGGTGATATCAGGGAGAATAAAGGGAACGAAGATAAATGACAAAGAAAAGTGTTTACTAAACAGAATAAACGGTATATAATGCAACAGCCCTTCCTACAGTTGTTATTCCGCGAAGGGAAGAACCGGCGTTGAAAACCGCGAAGAGGAAGTGTGCAGGGCCCGTGGAGGGTGACGTCCGTGTTCTGCGCTACTTTTCACTGTGTTTTTATTTCGGAATTCGCATCCATTGAAATATAATACTTTTGCAATGACAATAACTTCACAATTCGAACGAGTTCGAAACGGAAAGATTTTACGAAGATCGGCAATGAAAGTCGTTTCGGCTCGGTGAGAACGTACGTAGCTTACAGGAACATGATTTCTCGCTCGATATTAATAATTACGTTTATGTATATATGTATATTTGTATTTATATTTATATATATATATATTTATATTTATATATATATATATGTATAAGGGGGCGTTGGAAACCCGTGTGTGGAGTTTCGGCCCTCTTGTCGAGCCGACCACCCTCGGACAAGGCAAATCTCACGGCGATAATCGAACGATCGTACCCTAGAAACAAATGTGTCGGCCCTGTGCCGAGGAATCAAGTCTTTGTCTCGGTTGTACCTGTCGATAAACTACCCTGCAAAGAATTACCAATCGAGTCGATTTAACCCGGAACCGGCGACAATTCGCTTCCTCGCTTCGGCCATTTGGCTCCCCTTCCTTCAAAGCGCCCCTTTTTACTCGTTAAGTACTAACCAGATCGGCTAAAATATTAACCCTATTAACAACTCAACGTCCAACTAATATCTGTCAACAGAAATGATCAACGACTCGTTAATAAGCTTCCTCCGGCTCCGATCGATGGAGCACGTGTTCGCGGATCATTTTCCTCATCTTTTATTTAATAAACCATAAGTGATCTAATCAGTCGCAAACCCTTCTTTAAGGCGTATTTATAGTCTAACTAACATTTAACGGAATATAACACTTAAGCGATTTAAGAGTAGACTAGCATTGACGCATCGCGTTCCCTTCGTTAAGTACAAGTGTTTTAGTCTCTTAATTACACGGCGACTCGTCAAGAACCGTGGATGTCGAAAAAATGACAAAATGCTTCCTGTCTCTCGCCGGAAGGAACACTTGTCACCTCTAATTATCGATATCAAAAACCATCAACCGGGGCGCTTGTAACGTTCCTAACTCTCCTTATAATGTCCGCGAGTTCTAACAACCCTCGAGGGCCTAACAGTGGAATATCGAGGGGAAGAAAAAAAAGAAACAACAAAGAGTCCGGAAGCGAAACTCGCCACGGGACGAAATTCCCTCCGCCTATTTCGGTAGACATTCGTATTTCTTTGCAGGAAAATATTACTCGCAGTTGCAGCGGTATCAGCGCCATTATGAAAACAAGAAGCGGAAGAAGAAGAATAAGAAGGAACGAGAGATACGTGACTACGTTGATGATAACGAAAGTGGCGACGACGATAACGGCGATCGACACGAGGACAAATAACAACGGAAAAGGAACGAAAGGAAAGATATCTCGATTAAAGTCGGATGCGAATATCGCACGAACGCGCTAGACGTAGAGAATGAGTGAACTCGAAAAGTAGGATTAGGATTAGTCAAAAATAGGGGTTTAGGATTCCCCGAGAAAGTGGAGGAGCTGTTGCATATATTTTTTTTGGGGTTTTTATCTCGCCTTTTTTTATAATCTTTTTTTTTTAAGGAAACGACTGCTCGAACCGTACCGTTGCGGCCTCTTAGATACTTCGCTTTTTTGGTTTAAACCTTAAGGAATTAGTTTTATATATTGAGAGAGAGTACGTTTTTTTGCCATTTTCATTATTTCGATCAAAAAGCCGTTGGAGTTATTCGAAAAGCCTCAAATACGTTCATTTTGTAATAATAGTTGTGTGGGAGTAGGTTTTAATAGGTTCCGCTTTGTTCTCCTCGCGATCTTGTCCTCGTAGCTGTTAATACATTTTGATAATTAACGCGTATTAGTCGCGTGTCGCGTGAGTGTGTTAACGTTGTGTTATGTTGTGTAGATGAGTGTGTGACGTCGACCTTCTTTCTGCTTTTCTCCCCTTGTTTTGTCGAGGTCGTTTTTGGCGTTTACAACGCATTTTATGCTTTTTCTAACGTGTATGGTGCACTTCGAGAAAAAAATAGTGCAGTCCTTGAGCTCTATAAAGGCTTCGGAGAGTCCAGTATCTCCGCTTTGTTCGTTATCTTTTCCTCTTTCCTCCTTAACGATCCTCCATTTCGTCCTCGTCATAGAAATGGTCTTCTGACCTCTTACGGATTCCTTTAAGGTGGTCCATACGTCCTTAATTAACCTAGGGAATTTTATTCCGATCTTTTGTGCTCACTGTGGCTCGTAATTTCGGAATTTGATTGCGTCCTGCCGATTTTGTGCGATCTCCAAAGGGCCATATATCGAATAGTCGAGACTCCTAGACCGAAAGAATTGGCAGCTAGAAGGGCGAAGCCAACCTTTCGCTTTTTTTTTTTTTTCAATCGAATCTAGACACTTTTAACATGGCAATTATACCAATTATGCTGACATTTCACTTAATGTAAAAGTTCGTTATATACACATATCTGATATTTATACGTTGGTTATTCATTGACTAATTCATCCTGTATGGACAATGTACTCTTGACTTTACACACGTCATGACTCTGACTAAAGTAAGTCGTTTAACTGCAATCCCATCTCCTGAAACTAGTTTTACTATTTCAATAGCTTAGAAAAAACATCTCTTGATATCCTGCAATTAGAAACTCATTTCGATCTAATGGAAACCAATAGTCTAGTAACATTGCGAAGTCTAACGTAGAACGTACTTTAATTACAGATATGTATTTACACCTCATTGTGCATAACTACGTTTTAACTTTAAATATGTATTTACAATCCATTTGAATACCGGAAATGGGAGGGCAATTAACGAGAAGTGTAGATCTAATTTACGTTTACAAGTTTAAAGTCCGAGTTCGATACATACCATTTATTTAACATGAAAAAAAAAGTTGACACATGACAAACCTACTTCGTAGTTAATCAAATTCTGTGTTAAAATACTTTACAAAAGACAATGCAATGGGTGACTAAGAATGTGCTTACATGTGCAATAGTCAGAAAATGCGTTGTGCATACAGGATATTTAAAAAACAATGTATAATGTTACAAAAACCATGGCTGAAAGACGGACTGGTTGAATTGCATTTAATGGAATCCCATAAATCACTTTTCGGATTTAGTGAGTGGAGCGAGTCATTGTAGGCACAAAAGGCCGAATTAAAAGTCAGGAGATTCTAGTTGCCTGTGTGCAGGCTGGAGGAAATTCAAAACGTAGGAAAAATCTCAGTTAACGTCACCTTGGACGCATCGACAGTGTTGCTTGGCTAGCGAATATGGCGGTCGTTTGGAGTCATCTTTTCATTCGCGATATACAGGTTTGATCAAGTTAATCGCTTAGGTAAGTAGGTTTGGCATAATCCCTCCGGTCACCTCACCGTCTCATCTCCCTCGTCGTATCGTCTCATTTATTCGGTTCCTTAGGTCCTCAGCCGTAATTTCTTCCTCCCTCCTTCCTTACTTTCGGTCCGCAGTTTATCGGAAATAGCGTAAATAGTGCGTTAATTCTTATTACTTTCTTTATTGTTTACCTTTACCATTATTTAATAGTAATTTAGTAATTAATGCGATAATACCTTAATAAGGCCCAGTAAGGCTGCGTGGGCAAGGAGCTATCCCACAAAATTGAATATACCTTTTTTTTAGCTTTCTCTTGGAAAAATTACTTTTTCATACGCACGTCGTCCTCGTCGTCGGCGTCCCCGTCTTCGTCAATGACTAATTTACGAATCGACCTAGGATCTGCACCACGGACTACGTCGTAATTGAGAAGGCGCGCACGCGACGTCGCTTTTAAAGTCTTCAACGAAACGGTCTTGACACTTATCTTGGAATAGTTTTTAAATATTACTTAGCGATTTATTCGGTACTTACGGAATGTTCGTTTTATACGCGAGGACGCGATATTTATCACTTGGAAAATCATGCCTTTAACCGATCCATTTCTCAGATGGCCTTTTCGCCCGTTTGACACGCTTGCTCCCGTTAAGATAGATTGGAACTTAACAGTTTCTTTCACATTTAATGTGGCAATTGATCCAGAAATCGAGATGGCAATGCAGTTCGCAGGTCGATACGACTTTCAGTGGGTCCGCCACGATTTTTATTGTCCAGTTTTAGGCGCTCGCCGGTAGGCGCGCCTTGGCAGGAGCGCGCGAAATTTAAAATTCGGAACGGAGCAGGAATCTCCGATTTCACCGTTGAATTCTCGTAGGCCAAACAGAGCGATCTACAAAATTTCAACAAATTAATGGACATCCACTGAGACTCCGAGTATTGGCTTTTCGAGAAAAAGAAACGTGATATTCGATAATATTCCTAGTAAATGTCCACTGTCCTTACGCGCGGTCTTACAGGACGTTCCATGCGTAAAGAGAAAAAGCCCTTAATACGTTCAGCCACGAATCGAGAGATTTTTCGTTTCGAAAATTCCCATCAAAGGGAGTTTATCCCCGGTTTGGAAAGTTAAAAGAGAACAAGGTCCCGCCCGTTCCGGTGAAATATCCGTCCAATAGGAAAGCTGGCGCGCCTTGAATTCGTGCCTTCCTTTTTTCCTTTTATTCTCATTATTATTGTCACGTGTTTCTCACCATCTCGTAGAATCGTTCTTTCTCTCCCCGATTGCCACCTTAATTTTCTCCGCGCTTCCATGCTACCTCGCTGGCTTAAGATCGTACGCATGTACAGTGGTTTGGCTTTTATTAATTATCGCTGCCCGCTCTCTCGAGCTCTCTCGGGCTTTCCGCCCGTTTACTTCAATATATTATTAGTTTTGTGTGTATAAGTTAACTAACTTACGGAATGCCCTAAGATTATAGTATAGACTCGTTTTTTCACCGTTTCCAGAGATATCGGGTAATTCAACATGCTTGTAAAATTTTCAAAACTTACGTTACCCTTACCCTTATAAAGTCAATAGTTTTTATAATTCTGTATCTCTTTCGCTCGGCTTCCCCATACTCTCACTCTTTCTCTCTCTCTCATCCACGACTCATTTCGCGCTCCCACGAAACGAGGACCCTTTCATCCTACCATTCTCTCTCTGTCCTTGTACCTCTCCATTCGTTCCTGCTTTCTCTCTCTCTTTCTCTCACGGACGTAATTTCATTCCCTTTCTTACTCCCCCACTCTCGCTGTCTCCCTACTGCTCAACTTTTGAACTGTTCATTAACATCTCGACCATTTTAAACTCGGCGTCCTCTCTCGCGTATTTATATATTTATATATATATATAACCAAATATTTATATCTTGTATTTATAATTATTTATAATAATATTTATATTCATTTATATTTATATATATAGACTTTTTGCATTTTTTCGGAATAATGACCCGGCGACGTTCGTCACGAGCGTCGCTTTAATACTTTCATACGTTTTTTGTTTTCATTCGCATAAAAAACAAGGCAATTAGATTGAGTTGTATTGTTTACAGTTATATCCTTATTTAACGTTAAGTTAATCGCGGTTTTATGGTGGTGGCTGGTAGAGGTGGGGAATGGTGGGGCGATTTTGTCGTATATACAAATATATTACGTGAAGCATCGCCTCCGGATCGGTCGCGTCGTGTCGCGGCGATTGATGATAGTTTTTCACTGCAAAATACGCCAACTGGCGAAATCGTTTACGTTACTATCGGCATTTCACTTTCACGGTAGCAGCGAATGCGTTAAGGAATGAAGGTCGTATTTGGACAAGCCAATTGGTTCTACAAATTGGCTGCGTTCACGGCGCCCCGACGCGGCGATCCTTGCGGCGATGGTATCAAGTACCTCGCAACTAATAAATGAGACTAAGCTCTCCCCTCTATCTGCGTTTTTGCTCATCGGCCGTTTTGTAGAAATCGATTTGAGCGGGTCTCACCCGCGCCTCGTGACCGGACGGTGGCGTGAGCCATTGAAATTTGTTTTACGTAACCTATCTAGACCTCCTATGCGCGAATGCGCGGCCGAATCTTTCCCGCCAAGCGAGCGTTTCGCGAACGTTCGAGACTACTTACCTAGATTAACCTAAATTCGCGATTCGTTCGATCGATCGATCGTCTCGGCGATTTATCTGGGAGTCCACCCTCGCCCTCGCCAACTCCCACCGTCTTTAGTCTATCTGGACAAGTTTCTACTAACCGCCGTTCGTGGAGTTCCCAGACCCGCCATCTTGGAATCCCCTTAACCTGTTAGCTGTCTTTGATGAGTATACTCGTCATGAAAACACACGTTTCAAACAGGTCGACACGGTTAACTGGTTAATTTCTGCCCTTTTGCGCAGACAACGCAGAACGTTTCTTTTCGCTAATCGTTGTCTGCAAAAAATCACTAAGCAAGGTGAGGTGTCGCCGAATTATAGATATGTGTGTCCATAAGGCAATGGTAGTGGAAATTGATGCTAACTTGAAAATTGGAGTAAACGTATCGTCTGGAAGTACCAATCATAGTCGAATATTCCAATCTCTAGCGATAAAGTAACCGCGTATGGTGTTGGATTTTGAGCTAATGCCTTTCTTTTTCTGCAGCAATGAGTCTACGTCGTTCTTTGCCATTCGGGATTTGCAATATGGCGGGTCTGGCAACTTCGTCTATCGTGCATCTACACAAAGTGACACTCGGAAGATCAATCGTTGGCGAATGGCACCGTGACGACCGTTAACAGTGCGATGCATTCGAGCGGAGTGAACGAGTGTCAGGCATTATTTCTCTTTTTATCAACTTTCAAAGGAACCGATCCCAGTGGTACGAAGCCATAAGCGTTAGTGTAAACCCGTACTGTGGGTTCCCCCTGACTCGGTAAATGTTACTTCGATGTTTCGTTAAGGTGGCGAAAATAATAATGACACACGTTGTCCAGACGTTGTCACGACGTTATCAAGTCGTTGTTAAGCCGCTGTCCAACATTTGCGGTGGGTGTCGACGAGGAGGGTCCCATTATTTTTGTTACTTTCGTACAATTTAACTAGTTCCCGAGGCTCCCGAGTCGGATTCGGATTGGCCCAGGCTTCGACCAATGGCAGATCGTCCAGAAATCACCAGGCTCGTTCGATTGGTCGACGACTAGTAACATCGCAATTGGCGGACAAATCCGAATCCGGTCTCGTGCCTCGATCGTCTGCCTTCTTATGAGGTCCTCGAAGATAATTGGACGGAAACGTCGTCCCTTGAGTCTCGTCATCGTGCGAGCCGTTAGTATGAAACCGTTTGCATTTGGGTTTCGCAAACCCTATCGGTGTCAACGCAGCTCGTGCCGACGATCGTTTACACGAGGGCATTAGCTGGCACATCGCGAGGCTCCTCGTAAACGGCTGGAATCCTTCGAATCCAATTCGCCATTCAATCGCATTGCACTATTCGTCCCTTCCTATCCGGAGCCAGTTTACGTGGTCTCATGTTTTAATAATTCCGCGTCGCGTAATCGATCGTCAACACCGGACATAACCTAGACCACCGGTCCTCCTTGGATCATATTAATGAACGTTTACGAGGGATCGTCGACGTATCGTCGACTTTCGTCCTCGTTTTCGCACCTCGGTGTTGTCGCCGTGGCTGCAGCCAATAGTGGTATCCGTGACTCTTACCGACGACCAATCGGAGGCGCCGTTTCTTTCGAGCCCGTTTACAAGCGGCGCTGCTGCTCTCTTCGGACACGTAGTTCCATTATTTGAGAGTCCTCCGCGAAGCCGTGTGCACATAAGGTGCCTCTTTTGGTCGGCACTCCCATGGCGAGAACTGGCTCCGTGTAAACAGCCCCGTCTAACCTCAACTTTCCCGCTCCTTTTTCCCCTAGTGTTTCACGAAACATCACGCAAAGGCCCTCTGGCGTCTTTAAGGGCAACCGCACTCGTCAACCACCATTTTCGGCAAGTCCCTCTTGATGATGTTCGAGTCGGGCCCGTAATAGATCAGCGACATCGGCGAGAACTTCAGGGGCGCGCAACATGGCTGCATACCCGCTAATCTATCCATTTTTCTGTATTCCTCGATCACGTGGGTGTAGTAGTTGAGGAAAGTGTCCGGCGTTCTATGGCCGGCCGCGCAATCCCCTCTACAATAATTCGCGTAATACCTGCGTGAAAACAAAAAATCACAGTTACGAATTATTCCAAGGAGATATTATATACCGAACGTTGATACGGATTTTTGGGGGGAGGTATCAGTTCGGGTGGTTTTCGTTTCCCTTAAGAAAGCGCCACATAAACTGATAACTCAACTGAATACACGGGGAACCCCTCTGATATCGGATTTGGGAAACACAGAGAGGAATTACGTAGCCTGGTTCCAAAACTCGAGCTAACCGGAGTTTAATTGGTTTACAGCAGGTTTAAGCCGGGTTAACTCGAGTTGTGGATCCGGGCCTTAGACGACAAGGGGGGGGGAGATCTTATGGTGACTTTACATGGACGCGGAAACATGGAAATAGCCAATTACGATGCATCTATTTAATAGATGCTGATTCGATCCTGAACGTCTCGATCGACACTTAAATTCGGATTTACTGGGTTTGGACCAGATCAATTCCGGATTTCGAGGACGATGGAGACGTAGTCTATGTAAAGCCACCATTAAGATCGCGTTTACACCAGAAGTCTTACCCTTGAGGAGCAATTATCCAGTCGTCCCAGCCTAGTTGGGAGAAGCTCACGTAAAACCTCTGCTTACAGCACTGGCCCTTGATGGCGCCACTGCATTCAATCGCTCGTCTCTTGACTCGCTTGACGGCCGCAGGGTCCGTTCGTAAAACCAGGAACGGTCGATCCGGATCTTGAGCACCTGAAAGCGTGTTCCGATAGTACATATTCATAGGGCATTTACCGCCAAACTTATCTAAGGTGACTAGAATTTGAAAACATTCAATGATGTTTAATTTGAAGATGCCTTCTACACGAACAACTCACATTATTTGATTTTTTCTTTGTTAGGAATATATTAAATGGACTCCATTTATGAGGTCGGTATTTGTAATAGGACCGTCCCCTTGAAAGGAACATGTGCGATCACCTTAAGGTGACATGAAAGTGGCATCTGAGGAGTCAATCAATTTCTTTTCAATCAAAACTTTTCTCTGAACTGGATGAACCGAATCGTTTAAAATTTCACCACGTGAACGTGGAGGCCCTAAGGAAGCCCCTGACTCCCGGACACTTTCATTTTTTTTTATACAAAAAAAGAAATTACAAAAAATGTTGCGAATAAAGTAAAAAATAAAATTCCATACGTGTCGGGACTTATCTCAGGGCTTCTATATTTAAGTGGTAATCGCTTACAACTTAACTAATCATACTGTAATATCCGTTTCTTCTCACCTTTCGAGTTCCCGGAGGCCTCGACGACGTGGGGCGCGTGCTCGCCGAAAGTCGAGACGTACACCTGCGTCCCGCAGCCGCTGCAGTCGACGAGTAGGGTCAGCTTGTCCTTCGGCGAGTTCGCGTTCGCCGTGTACCAATTGCTGACGACCTCGGTAACGTCGAACTTCTGCCAGCCCAGTTGGCCTACGTTCACCCCGAGCGACGTCGCCATTTCGAGATGCTGACCCAGCTCCTGAGGATGGAAACAGTCGGTAAGATTTCGCCTTTGAACCGTCGCGTTCTCGATTTTCCGATCGAACATCACCGCGTCAGACCCGAAAGGTGGAGGTTAAGGTTAAGGTTAAGGACCCGGAAGGCATCGATCATTACTTCCACACCTTGTCACCGCTCCGTCCCTATAGCCTATTACCTCGCACCAACTACCCCAGAAAAGGTCCTTTGAGATTTAAATGACTCCGTTCGATATGTAATCCGGAGTATATAATTAATGCTAAACAGCTGAAGCGAAGAATCTGTGCCACGAAGAGCAATCGGGTCGTTGGAAGCCCCAGGAGTGCTCTAGGTTGCATCAGGTACAGATAAATTGCTGCAGATCGTCATGAGTTTGAATAGCGTTAAACGACCAAGGTATCTTTAGACATTATTCCTGGGTTTAACGTTATGGGCATTTTTAGAATATGACGATTTCTTAAGGATAGTACGTTCCAAGGTTCCTTCGGTGGAAGCTTTCAACGTCCCAAGCACGGTTTCCTAGTTCCTAGGGAGTTTGGAGAATCCTACCTTGCCACGCAAATGCGTCGTGTTGCCACCGCGCACCCTGAATACCCAGAGCGTAATGTTTCTTTGGTTACTGTAGCCCTGACGATGGTGTTGATAGTGGTGGGCATGCCTCAGCTGCACCATGGCCCAGAGGGTCGCCCTGGTGATTCTAAGCGGCTCCAAAGCCGGCTCTCCGCTCGACATCGGGAACTCCAGCAAAGGCTGGCCATTTAACGTCCGCCCTGGAACAAACAAAGTCGTTATTTCGATACATTTTCCACGGAAAGGTTCCCTAATCGGCCGTTACGTTCCCGTATAAACGGAAAACGGGCCCGAGGAACGGAGACGATTGTCGGAGTTTTAATTCACACCCTATAAGGTTGGTAAGCAGATTTAGGATTTTGGCTTTAATTTAAATACGATCGCCTTTAGCAGTCATCCTATACGAGGGCTGCAACCGGTATTTCAATCGGTGTTTGCACACGATGCTTCCTGCGACCATACAAGTTGGAAGGTGATTCCCCTAGCTGGGGGTCTGTTCGTCAATTAAGCGGCTTACGCTAAGCCACTTTCATTTTTACCTAAAACGTGTTTTAGCTAATCCGCTTGCGTGCATCGCGTCTCCACGTTAATCCGGAGCTATTTTAACCCGAAAATTTTAACTAGCCAACGAGCCTAATTAATCCATCGTTGAAAAAGTTTGACTGTAGCTTTCGCGGCTTTAGGCAAGCTCATCGTATTTAGATAATCTCGATAATTAAAATGCTATATCAGATCACAAAGGGTTAAGTTGAAACGGCAATGATACAAATTTCTTTGTGTCCTCCCTTTCATTTTTGCTGTCTCCATGTTGTACATTTACATGTTCTACCTTACACCAGTTTTATAAGTGCCGGTGTTAAGCAGCGTATAAACGCTGTTTTACGACGGGGTTGCCGGTAAAACCGGAATAAAATGCCGTTTATTTTCACGCTTAACATCAGTAGTTATGAAACCGGAGTAAGGAAGGACGTGTAAATGCAGTAATTGTCGAATCAGTTTGCAGGGTCCACTTATTCTATATATGACGGTATTATGTCGGTTATCGAGCGACTACGACTTGGTAGTCTCCAAACCGCCCGATTCGAGGATAAGAGTCCCATCGGTGATTTCCTAGGGTTTTTCGATTTCGACGGACGGTTTGGCTCTCTAAACGCATCCCGTGATATAAATCAACGAGTTTACACCAACTTGCCATTGGCAAATTCCATTAGATCGGATCGATGCCGACCATTCGGTTTAAGCCAACCGCATTGCGAGGAGGAGGCGTTATTTATGCGTGCGTAAAAATGAAAAGAGCATAGGAAGTACTTTGGGCGCGGGTTTGTTCGTAGATGCATCGATCCAAATGCCGGCCCAATCGAACGTGAGTCCATTTGAACGTGAATCTGGTTGGACGTCGGGGATTTTACCGCAACACCGTTGGCTCGACGAAATGGCCGGCATTGGTACGGATCTAATGGAATTCGGTATTCGCGCCAGTGAGAGTAACTTGGTCAAACTGTCCAGTGACCGGGTTACTCGCGAAAAAGAGCTACCTAGATTGTTTGAATGCCGCGACTTCGTTCCCATTGACACTCTCGCTCCATTAACTCGGCGAAATACCGCGCCGTGATTGGTCGCTGCGACGGCTCTAATGGAAACGGTAATTACAAACCGAGGACGTAGGGCGTCCGATGTACCCTGTCCTGGGTAGAGTTCGAAAATTCTCGGTAACATTAAATTGGAGAAGGTAACTGTGAAACATACCGTAAGTTACCGGGAACATTGAGAATTTAAGAGAACGTTAATTTTGTTATTTATACTCTAGGCTTCTTCGTTTAAATAACTTCTTTTTTCAATCAACTTTCAATTTCAAGCTAAAGAGTAATAATTACTATTAGAAAATATTGATTATAGGGTCGTATTTACCTCCAGCTAAAAATATTCACGTATGTACAATTTCACGGAAAATTCCATGCGATTTGTTTCAAATGTATTGATATTTCATTCTGCTACGAAGCGAATGGGTTTTGATTGGCTACAGAGAACGTACAACGGAAATTCCCCTCTACGATGTTTCTCTATAACTAATCGAAACCTCTCGTTCGCTCTGTTGAAAAATTCAAATTCTCATAGTTTCTCGATAAAAAAGGCTTTGGAGAAATTACCGATACATTACCGGGAATTTCTCTTCGTTTCTGACGTAACTTACTGGATTTAGAACTCTAGTCCTGGGGGCGATTCCGTATCTCTGGTGAGAGTGCACACCTCTCGCATCTTCGTTTCAGTTATTGTGCATTTTTTTATATCCAATTCTGTACCCCGCGAGTGAAAATGTGAAATCCTTAGATTGAAATAATGGTAAAAAAGGTTTTAGTAGATGTATACCGTACGTGATTGACGCTTAAATTTTCATCCTACCGCACAAATTAAGAATTGCGAAAAGTTGCAATTTTCTGTATATATGTATAGACTAGCTGCCATCGATAAGTATCTCGCTTTCTCTGTATCCATGGTTCCTTCTCTCATGTCTCGTCATTCGAAATGTCTTGTCGAGTCCTACAAAGCATCTTACATTTTTATCGTATAAATATCGTGCCTCTGTGAAGATAACAGAAATGAAAGAAAGAAACCGAAGGGGCCGTTTTCTCGCTCTTTTTGTCTCATCTTACGTGAAATGAATGCGCAACGCAATATGGCGACCACCTTACTGACGACGAGATCGAGAGAGAGAGGAAGAACAACGGGTTTGCGGGCTCTATATATCTTAAATCCATGGTAATGACGCCTTCGTAATAACTCTGGAGATTTCTCGCGTTGGTATTCCTCGGAGCAATTCGCATCGCAAGGTCTTGGGAGATCCAGGGGATTCCCGGAATAATTTTCCAGAGGGTGGGCAAGTAGTCGCATGCCCGAGACGTTTCAGGACTATTTGCATGAAATTAGGGTGGCTCCACGACACGGCTTATGCACTTCCGGTTAAAGCTTGCCTCTGTCCTCGTTAATGCAAAGGGATTTAATTCCGATGCAAATCCCCCTTAAAATACTGGCGAATCTGCAGGTGCGTGCGCCTAAGTATTCCCTGATTCCGGGAATCCCTGTAACCGTTTTCATCTTTGATCGAGCCGCATTTTATGCAAATCGACGGTCTGCTTGAAGGCATCGCATTTTCACGCGACGTTTCGTGAGCTAGTGAAATCGTATCTGGATTTCGAGTTGCGAAAAGTTACCCTGTAGAGGGTTTCCCCGAGGGGTAGTCACTCAGGAAATTATAGATTTTAACGCTTGAAATAAATAACCACGGAAAATGATTAGAAATCACCGAATGCCGTCGCAATTTTAAGGCCGAACGTCCCTTGTTACCGAATTGCATTGTTTTTTATTTTACGAAGTCGAAGACAATCGGCTCTCAAGGAAGTATATCGTTTTTCCTGATTTCCCGAAAGTGGGGGATCGTTTGAAATTTTCTGCGTTATTTTTGGACGGTCAAAGTTAGAACGGAATATGGAACGATGCACGGGGCAAAAAATAAATGTTATATGCGTATGAAAATATATGTACGACACAATGAAAGATATGATAATCTTCGTCGAAAGGATGATCGTTTGCCAGAAGGGTCAAGGCGGACGTATAAATGTATTTCCCCCTAGCCCTCCATGTTCGTACCTTGGATTAAAATAATAATATATAACATTGAAAATTAATTTCATTTTTGTTTCATATTTAAAATGACGCCTACTTTTGGGGAACCCTTTATTCCGGCGCTTTCCATTACCGTTGCTCTTCATTGGCAAGGAAATTCGTGCCTTCGTAAAATCCGCAAACGAAGACGCACGTTTCGCGTGGAAGTTGGGAACGGTTCTTTATATATCCGGCGGACCCGGAAGCGATTCCGCGATTGCGGCCTCGCGTTTCTCTTCCCTTAATCTGGTTAAGCGCGGCCATCGGTCGCAAAATCGATCAGGTTCAATCCTAAGGCAACTTCCGCGGGATCAATTTACGGAACCGAGAGATCGCGATGCATTTTAAAGTGCTTCGATTTAATCGCATCACGTTATTTACGGCTCTGCCCCTGGATTTCTCGCCTCCCTCGAATTACAAGAAATCGAGAGCTTCGCCGCCGCCAATACCTTGAAAATCGGTCAAGATGCTCGAATATCTGTACGAATTTCATTTCACTTGCGAAAAATTGAGATTCAATGCCGCCGTAAGTTTAACAACCACAAAAAGAACCGACGGATCCCTGCAGGAGGTGCAAAAAGTGCGCGCGAATATAGAACACGTCATACTAAATTTAAAAAAAAAATTGAACGGCCATTTCTCACATCGTTATACTTTATCAAATTGTAGAAAATTAAAAACACGATATCAGTGCACGGCAACTTAATTGGCCAGTTGTTCCGGTCATGGTTATGGGCACTGTTACACATCTGAAAAGGCCTTAACGGTTAAGATGGTTAACCGCCGAGTTAAACCGAGTTCATCTTTACTTTGACGCCCCCACGCTAGAGTTCTAAATCCAGTAAGTTCCGTGAGAAACGAAGAGAAATTCCCGGTAACTTATCGGTAATTTCTCCAAAGCCTTTTTTATCGAGAAATTATGAGAATTTGAATTTTTCAACAGAGCGAACGAGAGGTTTCGATTAGTTATAGAGAAACATCGTTGAGGGGAATTTCCGTTGTACGTTCTCCGTAGCCAATGAAAACCTCCCATTCGCATCGTCGCAGAATGAAATATCAGTTCGTTTGAAACAAATTCCATGGAATTTCCCGTGAAGTTGTACATACGTGAATATTTTTAGCTGGAATTAAATACGACCCTATAATCAATATTTTCTAATAGTAATTATTACTCTTTAGCTTGAACTTGAAAGTTGATTGAAAAGAAAAAAAGTAATTTAAACGAAGAAGCCTAAAGTATAAATAACAAAATTAACGTTCTCTTAAATTCTCAATGTTCCCGGTAACTTAGGGTATGTTTCACAGTTACCTTCTGCAATTTAATGTTACCGAGAATTTTCGAACTCTAGCCCACGCGTAATCCCCGCATCGGTTTAACTCCATACACCTCGGCGAGATATATCGGAAGAATTAATCGTCCCTAGTATAACCATCTCGCCAGCCCAACGGCAGTCTTTTCGAGTCGACGCTTCCCGACCCCCCTAGAGCCTCCCACCCGAGGACCGAAACTAGCTATCTAGGGGAGGAAGCTCGTCTAGTT